TCTTTGAATTTCTAGGGGTGAACGTCAGACGTATTGTCCGTGAATGCGACTATTCAACATATAGAGACGCATGGAAAGTCGTACCTTGTCTAGCGCCTTTCCATACTTGTTAAGGCCGGCATATATGGGCTTCAAGTCTTTCTGAATAACATCTAAACTCTTCTTGAACGGGTCCTGGAGCTTTGCCAGGGTCAAGGGCGCCAACTTAGGATCTGGTCGTGTGCTGGTTAGCAAGCTTCATTCCGAGAGCGATCCGAAGCTGCTCACCTGCCGCGATCTTAGCACGAGCTGCAGTGAGCAGATCAATCGTCTTTTGTACATCGTCGATGCTTGTCGAGAGGTTTGCGCTGCTCTCCAGCAGCTCTATCTGTTCTCGGAGGTCGTCCATGGTGTCGGCAACGGCCGTCTAGTCGGCCGTGGTTATGATAGGCTTTGGCTGGTGGAACGAGCGTCAGCTGATAGTGAATAGCGGATGTGTGGCCAGCAAAAAGCCTTGTTGCTGTCCATGGCCGTCCTATGGGCGGATATGGAGAGTTGAAGAGTAAGAGTCGGTCGTGTGTTGCGCATGGCCGTTGGCCGCGGGCGAGACATGACGTGTGGGGAAGGAACAAGGCCGAACGTCCACCCATGGCCGGCTTTCATATCTGTACAACACGTCTCCCTTTACGCCAAATCGTCCGCCTCTCAGATGCAGCGCGGGACCGAAGACTGCTGGAATCATGCATAAAGTGCGATCCGGCTCACTTTTGCTCATCTTGTCGCCTTCTGCCCGTTGGCTCGCGCTCGGGCGTCGGCGAGACTCGACGCCTACCTCTCTACGATGAAGAGCGCGCCCTCACAGCTCCCCGTAGTGTACTGGCCATATTACACCTGAATCCGCTCCTCTACACGCTAGCATGGCGTACCAGCTTCCGACCTCGCCGGCGACAATGCACACAGAGAAGGAGCTACGCAAGCAAATGCCGTCGCTACAGACGTCAATCGACTCCAAGACCACAGCCCAGTGCCGTCCACCACCGCCTTCGAACGCTCCTACCTTCGAGACGATGCCGGGAGAGGCCAGGATAATGTCTCCCACGTCGCCGAATGGACATCAGCGCTTCGTGTTGACCGACTCGGTGGCCGCGCGGTACATTGAGGAGGACCCGTCAACCTCATGCCACGTCCTTGCGCGTCGCCAGAAGATTCAGGGCTACGAGATCTACTTGGTTGAGCAATGGGCATGTTCACGCACGCATCCGACCTTTCTTATCACCACGTACACGGGCAATCCGGAAGATACCGTACTGGCCACCATCATCAGCGTGCCCAAGAATGAGGAGGAATGGTCGCCGCAGATGCGCTTGTATTTTAAATCCCTAACCGATCACCATGCCCGGAGAAAAGACACGCCATATGGCGCCCTGATGATCACAAATTTAAGTGGCTTCCCGTCATCCCTTACCGTCATTCCTGTCCCTGGGGGCGATCTGAAGAAGTGTCGTGAGCTGTTTCTGACCAACGAGAACTTGAAGAGATTGGGATGCTCGGGTCGGCTAGGCATCAAGCTCTCACCTCCCAGCGGTGCGACGCAGGCCAAATTTCACCAGTTGTATCGCACAAGCGAGAAGATTCCCTTCAATGCGTCCGTCATTGAGCTTGTGAAGCTCTGTCAGGTTGCACTCGTCTTGTTTGGAAAGCTGGAATCAGTGTACGCGGATGGACTCTTGTGCGATGTCACCGAAAAAGCTATCAACGATTGGTGGATAGATTTTGGGTCTGAATACTATACAGTAGAGCCCCATGACGGCATTCTCGGTCCTACCACGGTCGCAGCCTTGCTCGGCATGTTGATGGGCGCGCGCAACAGACTGAGCGCATGCGGTGCTGCAGTCGCCAAAGACGTCTTCGATATCGAAGCTACCCAGCGCGGTATCTCACATTTCCAGAAGTCGCAACATCTGCCGAGAACACGGCTTCTCGATCGTCATACGCTAGAAAAGCTGCGAAGAGCCTCTGCAAAGGCGGCTAGCAAAGAGGGCTGGGCTGTTCCTCGAGCTTTCAAGTCAACGGTGGCTGAGTTGGGAGGTAAGGGTGGTGAAATGGTCATGGGCATTGTCGGGGCTGGCCAGAAAGATGGTATCGCCGAGGTTGAAACTGTAGACATCGAGCAGTTCGCCGAACTTGTACGAGGTGAACATGCCAAGTGGCTTTGGCATGGAAAACCAAGGAAAACAGCATCAGGAGATAGCATGTTCGACCGACTACCCGGTGGGGAGGAACGTTCAGCCTCGCCCGACAAGCATGACCATACTCCCAAACCAGTCCGTAGGGAGATAACGGAGCACCAAGGTATAGCAAAGCGTGATACTGCTTCGTCGGATTTAAAGAAGGTAGAGACGTTTACCCCTGAAGGTGTCGAGAAGGAGAGCTTTAAAGACCCCTCTTCGAAACGAGCTGCAATCAAGGCCAAGCTAGAGTCTGGTAGCGGATTCCATCACATAAAGAACGCCGTCGGCCTGCGTACTCATGCAAGCAAACTATCTCGCGACGATCATGGTCGACATGGCCTATATCGCACAAAGAGTGGTAACTCACAGCTCCAGTATGCAGACTCCCGGCCATCCATGGACTACGAGGAAGGCCACTCAGACGACCCATACTCCCTCATGTCACCTCATAGTACAGCCGGCGAAGAACCAGCTTTTGCAAAAGCCCTAACCGAGACTCCTGGCGGATCTGTCACATCACTCAACGCTACGAACAAAACGTCTGGCGGTCGTCACGCATCAAATTTACAGAGTTCCATTGCAGAAAGCGATATTTCTGACCAGCCCGAGCAACCACACACGGTTGCAAGTTCCGTCGCCGGCTCAATCTACCACGGCGTTGACCTCAACGAAAACCTCCCCGTCGACGAGGCAAACGCCATCCCCCCGCTCCTCCGCCGCACCCAATCCGGCGATCAATTTAACCTATACCAAACCCCCCACAACGACGACTGGTGGCCCCGCCATCTCTCCTTCAGCGTTGCCGAAGAGTCCGTCCTCCGCTGGTCTAGCATCTCCGCCAATGACCCAGAAACCGAAGAAGCAATCGCCCCAGACGACACCTCCCCCGCTGCCCTAACCGCCCGCCACGTCTCCCAAAACCTCCACTCCACACAGCTCAAACGCTTACACAACCACCTCCTTCGTCTCTCCTCCAAAGACGAAAATTGGGTCCACACACGCCTCTCAGAGGTCCTGCAACTTTCTTCATCCGTAGACGCCGATATCGAAACGCTGGAAAGTATTTATTATCCCCGCCTTGACACGTACCATAGTTTGCGCGAAGATACTCATGCGACGGTTACGAACAATCGCGGTCAGCTCATGGCTAGTCTCCGTGAGCTGGAGAATGTGAGGGATAAACTCGAGTATGAGATTAGTGCATTACGCGGGAAGGTAGAGGATATTGAGGACGTCGTGGGCGAGTTTGAGAGACAGGTTGAGTTTGTCGAGGGGAGGGTGGACGAATTGGAGAATGTGCTCGGCGAGAGGGAGACGTGGTTGAGGTGGGGGTTTAGGGTTTTGACAGGTATGGGGATGCCGCCGGGGTAGACTGATTGATTGCTAGTTTGGGTGTTTGGGGCGTGGTCCGGCGTTTGATATACCCGTTCTGTGTTGGTCTTTTCCCTTTCTTTTGTATCATATCTTGGGAAGTACTACCATGTAATACTCGTGGAGAAGCATATAGATCTCTTTTTTTGTTCAGGTGGCATCAGGCGGGAAGATAGAGACAGGCATTTGCTCATCAGGGTATCACTAAACACAACTAAAAATGAACATGCACAGAAACCACCCCATCCCTCAAACAGCTACGTCAATCTCTCACATACCAGATGCAGCACCACTTCCTTCACCCTTCGTATCTCTCCTCTGCATCACCTGCTGCCGATGCTGTTCCTCGAGTAGACTCTGCTTACGCACATACTCCATGACAATGTCTTCTTCAGTCTGCTGTTTCTCCAACATTTGCATCCTCTCAGTCTCGGCCTTCTCGCTCTCCTCAAGGACCCTTTGCAAGTCCGCGTCATCGTCTTCATAATGGGTCTCTCGTGGCGAAGCGATGGTACCCACATCGGTACTTCCGTCAGTTGAAGCAGCAATGGCTTGGCTCATAGCGTCCATGATACCGCTTTCCTGCTGCGCCCCCTGTGCAGAGGTCGCGTAATCCTCTGCGTGGTTCGCATGCATATGCGCGAGTTCCTTCGACTCTGCTATAATGCGTCGGTACTCTTCGCCTTCTTTTGTGTCAGCATCAGAATCCCATTCCGAGTCGCTTCCATGCTGACGGCGAACCCTCGTTTCCAGTAGACTCTTCCTCAGTGTTTCTTCGAGTGCCCTTTGTTCCTCGTCGGTAACGTTGGCCTTTCGAGCTTCTTCCAAACTAGCAGTCAAAGCTCGATGTAACGCTTCTTCTTCATCTTGCTGCGACGCAATTGTGCCAGCGGGAGCGCGCTCAAGTTCTGCAACTGAAGCGCGGATTGCAGAAGCAAGAAGTTGGTCTTGTTCGGCATTGCCGCGCGAAGACTCTGCAACAGAAGCTGCAATTGCTCGTTCAAGTTCGCGCTGGTCTTCTTCCTCTTCGGCCCGGAGTTGGGCTTCGAGCTCGGCCTGAGGTGATTGGAGCGGTGCGCTTGCTACGCTTCCAGAAGTAGCAGTATCCTGCCGTCTCAATGCGCGTGTCCGTTCAGCTTCTTGTTGACGCCAGCTAGGCATCGTCGATCTTATCTCAGGCTCAACACCGCGTCTTCTTGGAGGATCGGGGTACTGGCCGACCAAGCTGCCTTGTTGGGTCGAGGTTCCTGGCGTTGATGGTTGAACGTCGGGAGCATTGGCTTGCGAAGTGAGTCTTGCTGAGCGCTCGTTTTGCTTGATCTTCTTCTGCTGTACGAGTGAGTGCAGTGAGTCCATCTTCTCAGCTCCGGGGTTCCTCTTCTTCTTAATACCAGATTTCACGTCGGCCCATATCTTTACAACTGCATCTCGTTCCTCTTGCGTAACCCCGGCTGCTTCCTCGTAGCCCTGCGCGACACGTGCAGCGATGATGTAGTTTTGCACATCCTTTCCTTTGTTCTTGACCATCTCTTGATAAAGGCCCTTCATGGCATAGCCAGGAACTGACCATGCACCTCCCATGACGCGGAATGGGACGCTCATAATACCACGCCCAACGCCCTTGACAAAACCGATGCCCCCTTCTTTCTTTGCGCCTTTGTAGGGATCGGTCACGATGCCGGTAATACCATCGTATAGCCCAAATCCAAATTGCTATCTTGATGTTAGCGAGCTTCAGGCGCAATAGTGCAGTTTGAATTACCTTGGCAGCTGTTCGTATGCCGCTCTGGAAGTCAGTGACTTTATCGACCTGTCGAACTTCTGCTCCATACAGTTTAGGTACATTGTGGAATCCCTTGGCAACGTTCAACGAGAAGTCCATTGGCGACTTGAAGCCAGCACCAACGATACGAGCCAATCCCTTTCCAGTATCCACTGCAGAGTCGACGTTATCGGTCATCCCTGGCTTGGGCGCTAGATTGAATTTAGACGTTGAACCAGACGGAGCACTGGAATTTGGCGTGGTAGAAGGTGCAGGACTGGTGGCTGCTGCATGGTCGGCTTGAATACGGGCGAGATCAGCAGCACCATCAGCAGCTGTAGGTGTAGTCGCCTCACTTCTTGCTGAACCTTGGGTCGTTTCCGTCGCACTTCTGGAGTTCGTCGGCCGCTCGCTGCTACTTCCTTCCTTGATTGAGGAAGGTTCACTTCCCGTTGACTTTTCTTTATCTTTCTTCTTCCTGGCATCTGGGTGAATGCCGAGAAGTTTGAGTGTCTCAATGGGCATATCAGCAACTCCCATCATCACGGATGTGGCGGTACCCGTCAAGGCGGATGCTGCACCAGAAACAGGATCCCAAGGGCCTTCGTCCGGAACATATTCGCGAGGTCGGAATCTGCGAGAATTAGGATACATTCTATTCAGTCGTCAAAAAACTTACAGCTTCATTTCGGAAAAGTTGACTTCGCCTTGTTGAGCCAGAACGGTAGCCGCCTTGGCACTCAGCTTTACTTGAGTTCGTTTGAGCCTCCACACAGCAGGCTTGTCTGGCATGACCGCACATCGCATCTCTTCGTAGTTGAGCATTTGATGGAAAGACTGGGCGCCCTTATGCGTTCCGTTTTCCTGCTTGATCTTCTCACACAACTCCTGCGCTTGCCTGAGCGACTCAGGTTTAAGCGCCTCATTGATGGCGCCTGCAAGTTTCTCGGCTGTAAGCTCCTTGTACGGTATGGGGTCTGGTCCTGCTCCTGCTCTCGAAACCATAGCGCCCCAGAAAGCTTGATCTCCAAAGAAAGGAATAACCACGGTAGGTTTACCGGTCGCGATGCCAGCTGCTGTAGTTCCAGCTCCACCGTGATGTACGACGGCCGAGACACGCTTGAACAGCCAGTCGTGTGGGCAGTTCCCAAGCATGAAGACGTCATCGGGCTTACCGAGGTCATCAGCACCCAAACCACCCCAGCCCTTGGAAACCAAGGCTCGCTTTCCAGTAATCTTGACAGCATCGAATATCATCTTTGTCATGGCATTTGGGTCGTCCACCACGATGGAACCAAACCCAATGTAAACAGGTGGCTCTCCTGCCCCTAAGAACGCTGCGAGTTCCGGGTCAGGGGTGTAGTTAGATGCGAGGTTGAGGAAGTAGAAGCCGGCAATTGAGATATGGTTGCTCCAATCCCTTGGTTTGGGGATAAGTGCGGGTGACCTGGACAGTGTTAGCTATGTTGCTAGTCTCGAACCATCTTGACATACCAGCAGTATGTAAAGGGAATCTTGAGTCTTGCTAGCATGGCTGGGGCCCAAACAGCGCTTATAGGATCCAGGCGAAGGCTCTCCTTGCGAAACCTGTTGATCACATCCCCCAGACCTTGCCACGTGAGGATGTCGACCATGATGTATGACATGTAGTTTGTGATGCTAGGGTCTGCATTTGTAGATTGGATATTCGCGAGGGGATGAGGAAACTGCTGCGTAGGTGACCATGGCATGCTGTTTTCGTGTAAGTGTATGACCGTCAGCCAACGGAATACTAGACTTACGTAAACATCATGTGAAGAGGTATCCCCAGCTTCTCGGCGCAATGCAAATGACCAAAACTAGGGGGATTTGCGATGATGGCGTCAGCAACGAAGGGCTTCTTTAGATGCTCTGGTAGCTGCTCCTCGACATTCATCCACTCTTCAACTGTTTGCTGGAGAGGGTCTACACCAAGACCATTACCGGTTTCTATGCAAGATCTCCATGTTCCCCTCAAGATCTCTGCGATACCTTTTCTCCTCTTGCCAATATCACCACTGAGGAGTGTGTCAAAACCTGGCATCAGACCTGGGTTCTTCACCATGAAGGCCATGAGCTCGGCCGGGTCGCCGCCGATACTGAAGAACTCGAGACCATTCTCCACGACAAAGTCTTTGAACGTCGGGTGTGTCGCTAACCGCACTCGATGACCGTATGTCTCCTTCAGCACCTTGCCCAGAGCGACGAATGGCTGAACATCGCCCCGGGATCCCACCACTTGTATAACAACGTTCAAAGGGGGTGGAGGCCGTTGACCTGGCGCACCACCAAGGAATTCTGGGACGTAGGGAGGAGGACGTTCGGGGGTATCTTGTGCTTGTGTGAGTTGACGCTGAATGTGGGGGACCATGAGCCGCGAAAGCCCACGGCCCTTTTGGTCGATGCGGATATTAACACGCCCATCTTCTGCGACAACCGCATTGGTGCCCAGCTCCTGATTCTCGAGTTGGCCTGGGAGCTCTGTGTATGCGGGTGGAGGCTCAGTTGCACTTGACGCCTCATAGGCGGGGATTTGTGTCGCATCTAGATGTATACTACTCCAGTTATCAGTATCCAAGCCTCAGATCCAAGTGTGATGTTACTGACGGAGCATTTGTTTGTATATGTTGCTGTGTTGGTGGGGCACTATCGTGAAGCGCGTCATTGTTGGTGGGGTCAAGTGAACTTGACATGATAATTGCTATCTCAGGAAGAAAAGGGTATCGTAGGTGCGAATAGCAAAGAAAACAAGCCGAGTAAGGTCGCTGAAGATGAACAGTAAGGAATGGGGCGCAATGTAGGGACTAGAAGACTAATGTGGGGACTAGAAGCCTGTATTGCATTTCGACGCGTAGAGAAGCGCATGCGCTATGACACGGAGTATCGGGGAAGTTGCCATGTAATTGGTCGTGACTACTTTGAGGCGTACTAGGCGAGGCTGCGTCATCGCTCACACAGCCTCGAAGCCTAAGATCCACTCATCTCGAAGGCTTGGCAGGAACAGGAACAGACAATGATACTGCCACTTCCTGCAGCCTGCCCATGCTTGTTCAATGATTCAAGTCTTTCATTTTATACTTTGGGCCACTGAATATATGTCCATGAGTTTTCCTTGAAGTTTACTTGGCTTCTTCCTTAGGATGAGGGTTGATTCAGCTATCTTTCCTGACCCACACAGACATATTAGACCCTTGCCCCGCACCAAGTTGAGATGTTTCGTATAGCCTCGTATCTCGTATCCGTTGTACTTATGCAGCCCGTTATATATGTCCCCTATGCCTCTCTGTGGCCCCCATAACTTCCAACACATCTGGTCAAAGCCACAGTGATGCCCCACTATGACCTTTTCGTGGCCTGTGAGGCCAGGTAATGAATCGACGTTCACCTGTTAATATCATCTTAGTATGTACACGAAACGAACACGATGGTGCTACTGACCATAAGTGCGCCCATACAGATGCAACCCCCCTGGCTTGTTTGTCGTCTTCTTCGCACGTGGCTGGCTGCTTGCCATTGTCTGCTATCTTGGGCTGTTCTTGGACGGCCGGTTTGCCATTACCGTCGACGTTGTGCTTATGTGCCTCTGATGCATCAAGTGAGTACCTCGCCAGCCAGATGAGCTGCTCGGTCTGAGTTGTTAGCCTGTCTTTTGCAAGGCGTTGGCATATCTCGTTGATGACACGGCCGGCGTTTGTTATTCCTTGTGCCGCCTGGAACTCGTTGACGACTTGGTTGACATGATTGGTATGGTCTGATGCTGAACTTGACTCGAGGCCTCGCTTAGGAAAGTAAATGGGGCTTCTGACAATAATGCGCGTGTGCTGGAGGGGCGGCTTGAACATGGCGACTGAGTCAATTGAGACTGGTGCTAGGGTGAGTGCTGGATACTCTGTGCGAACGGAACTGGATGAGGAGTCCAGACGCGCGTAGATGCGCAATGTTGATGAAAGAGTAAGAAGACAATTGGTATGTAGGTTGGTGATTGAGAAAGAGATTGGAAATGGGAAACAGAAGGTGAAGTTGAAATCGGATTCATTTTAGGAAAGAGCTTACAGCTATCAGTTCATCTAATTAGATGCGGGGCCATTGCGACCCTGCTCCCAGGCAGGGACAACAGACGGTGTACTTTGAAACATTGTCCATTTGTGCCCTATCCAATTACTTCTTAATGATCAATTATATTACAGGTGGGGGTTGTGCTGTAACCCAATCCTCTAGAATTGCCAAAGCACAACATGCCCTCGTTCCTGCCATCCCTATCTCTACATGGCTACTCTCTCTGCCGCGGCTGTTTAAACAACGCTGTAACTACACTTTTTGGCTTTCTGAACACACTTCCATTTGGAGCTTTGGGCCTGTTTAGCTTGACCCTTCTTGCGAGCTGGGACACTCTCTTTCTCTTTGGACACTTTCTCCTTTTGCGCTAGCCGTGCCCGATGCAGCCTCTGTGCCTGTTGTCTCTTCTTGTTTTCAAAGCATATCCAGCTTTCAGGATCTTGCACTTCAGTTTCTGTCAATTCTATTACAGCCTTGACTGGTACAGTTTTTGCTTTCGACTGCTGGGCTTCGATGGGTATGCCAGCCATTCTGCACAGCAGCTCCTCTGTGTCCTCTGAAATTGTCTGGGGTAACCCAAATCGAGCCAGAGCGTTCTGCTGGATCTGGTTGAAGGGAAACGCTGAGGCTTCCTGACCCAAATGTTGAGGAGCCGGGATAACATTATCAACTCCGGAATCCATTCCACGGATATCCTTAGTGGCTGTGTGACTCTAGTAGAGAATCAGGTTTAATTCATTAGCACTCTTTTGAACCTTCGCGATGTCCATCTTTGTGGACTTGAGCGACAGTTGTCCAGTCATACCCCTGACCTTGGGCATTCCTTTCATCATCCCAGAAGCTCGCTCGGGGTATACGAAGCCCGGAAGGTTGTGTGGGAGTAAATTGGGCATCTCAAACGCTTGGTGCTTCCATGCAAGCTTGAAGATAAGGTTGAAGCCTTGTGCATATGTATGGTTTCCACATCCCCTTGGCGACTCTACTGCAAGTCGTATACCACAGGTACGGAGTTGTGCCTCTCCTCGATCATTCATATCGGTAACTATGGCTATGCAGTATGCAAGATGTAGGTGCTCATAGAATTCTTTTGAGACAGCCTGGTGGCAGATGGCGCAGTGATAGCCTTGCTGATTTCGCTTGCATGTCATGACATTCGACATGAGTGGGTGGTACGCTTCCTTATAGTTCTCCCCATGTAGGTACGGTAAATCCAATCCGTGGTCTGTACGTCCTCTGACCATCTTTGCAGATGAACCCGGTTCGGTTCGGTCAATGCGCAGTTGACTCGATGCGGGATTGGGTCTGCGGTAGACACAAGGCGCGGTCGAGTCGATGGGTGGTCAAATCAATAGGCAGTAGAGTCCAATGCGTGGTTGAGGGTGTATAAGGTATGTATTAAACGGCAGTTAAGAATATTTAGTGCCATACCTTATCGCTAATGGGACCCCAAAGTGAGTCAACCGGTTACCCCGCAGCGAATAGGTAGTGAATGTGTGGCATCAGCTGATATCTCGCTTTCACTCTTTCTCAGAACAACCAATTCTGAGACAGTAAAAGACTTGATGTAGCCTGGGTTACTCTAAAACGTTGCATGTTCAAGGAACTAAACCGAACTCGACTTATGGACAGTTCGCTGTATTGGTCCAAGTTCCACCCCCGCGTCTCTACTTGGTCAAGGAAGAGGAAGCCGAAAATGTGACAAGCAAAAAGTAGCTATACCGCCATAGTTGGGAATATGTTCAGAAAAATCTAGTAAGAAAGCTCAAGGACGTTATCTTTTATTGGGACTCGTATGGCATCTAGCATGAAGACATAGAGCTCATAGCACATTTCGAAGGCGGCTATCACCATGTTGTCGTTCTACGAGTTGTCATTAGAGGTGAAGATGAGGACTTTGCTATTAAGATGCCTGCTGTTGGTACACCAGCTCGTTGGCAGCTAGGCGATTCCCACAACTTGGACTTCGAGGTTTCCTTGATGCAGCATCTCTACAAGCGTATGACTATGCTAGTCCCGGATGCTAACAGTTGTGACAAGATCTCCAACAGAGCTCTAGGTGCACCCTTTATTATGATGAAGCGCCTACCTAGCGTTCCATCCCACGATATCTGGTATGAAGATGGACGTCGAAACCATCTCTCGGCTAGCCGCATCTCACCAGAGACAGAGGTAAAGCAGGTTAATATGCTCCGCTCACTTGCTAAATTCATGGCACAGCTACAATTTCTAGAATTCAATTGCCTTGGTATTCCGATCTTCAACAACGGTGCAGTTCTTATCCATTCCCAATCTGTTTCACCTCCGCAACATAACTCGATGATCCCTACGTCATGGACTGTGTTGACATCACGACTTCCACAAGTAAACATAAACAAGCAACCATCCCAATAAAAACTCAAAGTCATTTCACCACAGACACCATACCAAACCACCCAGAACGTGCACAAAATGCCCGCACCCCTAACCATAGTCGTCACCGGCTCCAACCGCGGAATCGGCCAAGGAATAATCCACCTCCTCTCCAAAACCCAACACCCACGCCCTCTTACCATATACGCCACATCCCGCAGCGGCACCGCCCTGTCCATCTCGGCCATCCCCCCCAACGAAATCCACTATGCTAAACTAGACATCACCTCCATCGCCTCTATCAATGCCTTCCTACGAACCACGCTGCCGGAAACCGGGAAAATCGACGTCCTCATCAACAACGCGGGCATAAACAACAACAAAAATGAAACCGCCGACACAGCCGCCCAAACAATTGATGTAAACTACCACAGTACGAAAACTATATGCAAAATTTTCCTCCACGAGGGAAAGATGAAGGACACACAAGGCGCACGCATCGTAAACGTTAGTAGTACAGCATCGGCTCTCTCAAATTATCCTGCATCTACGCAATCGCGCTTTCACTCAGTCAAGACGGTTTCAGATATTAACGTTTTAGCCGACAAATATGTCAGCTCTGTTAGATCTAACAGTCAGGAAGCTGCTGGCTTTGGAGCGCCGCCGAAATCTTATCAGGTTAGCAAGGCACTTGTGAATGCGCTTACTGTGGTGCTGGCGAGGGAGAACGAGTGGGTGAGGATTAATTGTTGTTGTCCGGGGTGGGTGGATAGTGATATGGGGAATTTGGTAGGGAGGCCGCCGAAGACGTTGGAGGAGGGGGCGAGGATTCCGGTTAGATTGGCGGTGGGGGTGTTGGGGGAGGGGGGAGATGAGAATGGTGGTTTGAGCGGTTCAGGGAGCAAGGAAGAGGGAGAGAAGGTCAGTGGAAGGTATTACGCGAACGATGGGGTTACAGATGTTGGCTGGGGTAAAGTTCAAAAATGGTAAATAGACACACGCTCCATCCCTGTACAAAAAAACAAATCGACATCCCTCTCCCAACTTCACAACACAGACCTCTCCTCCGGCCTTACCCCTTCCAAAAACCACCCCGGAACCTCTGGCCCCCAAACCGCCAAACTCTCATCCCCCGCCTCCCCCCACCCCACCTCCGTCTCCTCATTCACCAAATCCCCATCCGCATAATGTTCAATCATAAAACCCGTAGTATCCCACCAATAATCAAAAAGCTGGCTTCCCAAAATATGTCTCCCAACCCCCCACACACTATCATACCCCTTCTTCGCCAACCACTCATGCCCCAACTTCTGCGTGTCAAAGTCATGCACTTCAAAGGACGAGTGGTGCACGTGCGCGGACGGGTTTTGGGACAGGAAGATGGTGTGGTGGTCGGTGTAGTCTGGCCCCAGGTCGATGTGTGCGAAGATGGCGACGTCTTTGCGGGGCTGGGATGGATCGTCGGGCGTGTTAATGTAGAGGAAATCCGTGGGAACGATATTGAAGGTTCGTGTGTACCATTGCATTTCCTGTTGGAAGTTCGTGACGCAAAGACCGTAATGACCTAGTTTATGCACAGCCGCCGGTCCTGGTTTAAAGCGCTGGAAGCGAGCGATACGCGGTTTGTTGTTTTCGTAATTCGTAATCAGTGTTTCTGGGTAGGGTCCGGCTTCTTTTTTCGTCTGGCCGTAGAGCAGGTTTATGGGAAAACCTTCTGGGTCGTGGAGGGTTACCATTGACCCGCCTCCAGGTGCATCTGTTAGTTCTTGGATACCGCTTGCTGCGCAAGGCAGTTTTGCGGCTTTTTCTAGCTCGGCGTAGCTGGCGACTTCAAAGGTTCCACCCAGGAACTTTTTGGGTCCACGTCGCGCGTAATAGACGTATTGGTCGTCACTGTAGCCTTTGAACCATACTTTTTCGTCGACTTGTTTTGCGACGCTCATGCCGAAGTCGCGGAGAAAGGTGCTGATTTCATCAAGATTGGGATGTTGGTAGCGCATGTGTACCAGTTTTGTAAGCTTGATTTGGGCATCACGGTCGATGTTTTGTTCATGTTGCCATTGACGGAGGGGTTTGCACGGTTTAGGAATTGCAATGGATTGGTGGACCGAAGAGCCGCGGTTTGGTGATGTCTCACGGCTATGATTCTGGGTATTGTTAGTGGCTTTGATAGGTGAGGTCTATTCCTGGGAAATTTGATATAGTGCAGTAGGTGGCAACACCAGTGAGGTATGTGGGGCAGTGAATTGGACTTACTGAAGGAGTAATTTTGTCTTTCATGTCCTCAAACGCCATCTTGGAAACTTCTCTTGTGTTTGACGAAATGAGATGCGCAAACTATTATCGTGCTTGCTTCTGGCGATGGAAATATAAGATATATCAGTATCTCCGGGAATGTGGGGAAGTGAGATGGGACCCCACATGGATTCCGAGTCGGACCACGAACGCCACTCGCTGACATATGCCATCTCCGTGTTGGTATGCGCACTATAGACAAATCTGGTTGAGTATGCCATTTCCCATGTGTAAACAGTAAGCGTACGACTCTAGACATCAATCATAATTTGGATTGCTGTCCTATAGCTCGATGATCTCCTGTTCATCCGTAGCATACTTTGATCCTTCTATAGATCCCTCCACAAGCTTGTTAAGCCATGTACCCAGCCTGAGCGCAGCCTTGCTAATTTGCAGCTCCACGATGGGAACTGCTCCTGCTGCGTACCCATTTGTCCCAAGATCGGTATCGTTCTGTACGCGACTATATACGTAATCGCAGTCCCACTTGTTACTCTCTCTCGCCCAGGCTGTCGCGCAATCTATCGGCGTTGAAGGATTCGTGCAAGATAGCCACATGTATGGTGCCGAGTAGAACTGATCTTTACGAATGCGGGTAACGAGATCGGCGAAGAAAGGATCTAGGGACTGGTTCGAGAACGGATGGCTAGCTTCGGCTGCATAGTATGGTATGAAACCGTCCCAGACCTTTGACTGTAAGCTTCTGTCTGAAAGTGCACTGGGTCAAGACTTACAGCATGCAGTTGGGTCGAATGGTTTCCAAAGACCACCTTGTACGTATTACCACCGACAGCTCGTCCACTGGCATGCAGCGGCTGGTGAATGTCCCCAAGGAAATGAGCCACCCATTTCAACGCATAAGAACACGTCAGATTGGTGCCTCCAGCCAACTTCCCGTCCTGGACCTGAGTTATGCATTCCCGCAATATGCCCGTTTGGTTCGCAATAGCGCTAACAACGCACCCTCCCTTCGCACAGTCGCGGACATAGTCGAGGTGGCACGATTCGGGTTGATTATCGTGTGTGTCTATCCAATGCCACTGGTAAGAAAAATGGCCTTCGCTGGTATGCGCGTACCCATCTGCCCATGCTGCAGCGCGCCCGACTGAGCCGTTATACTTGGGTTCGAGAATCTTGGCGAGTATCAACGTTGTTTGAGGCGTGAAGAAAGTCTCCGCCATGAAGCCAATCTGATTATGAACTGTAAGAAGTCAGCGTCAGGATTGCTCGAGGCTTGAGACATCGATGTACCGTCGGTGTTCCATGCTGTAGTGGCAGCTAGGAGTGTCGCTCCTGTTAAAACGCCTCTGATAAACATATCGTCTGAGTATATACAAAATGGTAAGTATAGTAGGGAAGTTGCTAGATGTAGGTGCAAGTATGCGGCATAAGCGCCGAGGTGCTGAAACGTGCGCCTGGAGAGACAAGATGCTCTTCAGTCGACGCGTGATGCATTGCGATGACGCGCCAGGGTCCGGCTGGTGGAGATCGTTGCAGGCTAGCGGGACACCCGACCTTCCCCACCTTGGTCCTTGCACTCAACACGGTGCTCTCATGAAGCCGCGAACATTTTGTACCTGGATCAGATCGAATCTTTTGTCTAAATACTGCAACTTTTTCAACAGGTCCATGGGAAGGTTTTTGAGATGGATAAGCTTTGAGATGTAGTTTCACAGCCGCAATGACCTAGCTTTCTGTTACTTGATGTCTATACTAAGTGTGTGTAGTTGACTTCTCTGAAGATTGCTAGTCATCTTTTATTACATTGAAGAGGAATTTCATGGAGTTCGAAGACGTCGTTCGTGAGGTTCATATCATTCGTGTCTATCTATTTTCCCAGTCCAGTGCCATCGACCGTTCTTGTTGCATGTGAGACGTGCTATCATGCAAAAAGGAACGTGTTTCTCGGTCCGGAGCGCTTCTAATCTTCAGACTCAATAACTGCCGGGGCCTTGAGGGACCTGGTCTTGAGGAAATCGAGGCCTTCGCCGCCCTGTTGTATAGTCAGTATACAATACGGTCTACAAGTCTAGGCATCAGGTAGGATATGGGACTTACGTAGGAGATCAACGGTGAAACCTCGATACCATCCTTGGGATCCTCGCTCACAACAGTGGCACCAGCAGCTTGAACCCACTTCTTGCCCTGGGTCATGATGTCTTGCTTGCTAGTATCGGGGTCGTCCTCGCCGGTTCCTCGGGCGTTCTTCAGTGGAGAGAATTCGTCTTCACGCTTTACTTCCATGCAAGCAAACTTCTCCAGAGTAAGGAAGGGGAAGCAATCAAAGACAAACTGCTCCAACTTGATGCCGTTTGGCTTCTCTGGCTTGACCGTCTCGCCAGTCTCGGTGTTGACGAAAGGAATCTTCTTTCGCGCAACGTGGTGCGGAAGCTTCTTTGCCCACTCCGGGATGCTTTCGAGGAACTTGTATGAGTAGTAGTGGTTGACAATGTTGGCAGCGCGGAACTTGAGCAGTTCAGAGTCCTTGGAGTCCTTGGCCTCTGCGTCTTCGGTTGAGATCTCAGAGTATTCAACAACATCTGGCTTGCCGTTCTTCTGGAGAATGAGACCGACTGACTCCTTAGCGTTACGCTTACGGACGACCTTGGTAGCGATGTCGACGTTCTTGGATGCAGAGAAGCCGATAAAGACGGGGTCTGCAACCTTGACGAGACAGTTGTCGACACAGTATGCGTGAATGTGTTGGATACCACGCTTTCCCATGTCTGCTACGACGCCAGATTGGATGAGGGCTTGGTAGAGACCACCGTTGCCATCAGGTGCAACCGCAACCTACACAGTATCAGTACGATATCAAGGACTTGGCGACGGCTAGGGGAAGTGCAGTTGCTGCAAACATACCTTTGACTTGCTCTCTAGTAGAATCTTTCCCTCGTTTGAAATACACGGTAGAACACCCTGCTCGAAGATGACGACATTCTCCTTCTTCAGACCAAAGTAGTCGTGCTTTGCAAAGAAGTCTGCAGTGGGCCCTCGAGTAGGTCCGCTAGTCATGACATACCATGGGATGGTTACGCTGTCTTTGTTGTGCTTCTTCGCGGCCAACATCTCGGCCTTCCTGATGCGCTCACCCTGGAGCTGGAACAGGCTCTTCTTGCTGGGCAGGCCAATGTCAAAGCAGCCCTTTGGTGCGGAGCTACCAAGACGAGTGCCCTGACCACCGGCCATGAGCACGACGGCAACCTTGTTCTCAGCAATCAGCTCCAGACCGCTGTTGTACCATTGGTCGAGATCTCCCTGCGAAGAGTCAAGGACCGAGGATGTGGCATTTTCTGGAAGAGGTTCGAGCTTGGTCTCAGTGGCTTCGGACTGGGCGGGGTGGAGTGCACGCTCGGTGATTTCGTTGATGTAGTCGGGGTTGAAGTTGCTCAATTGCTCGTAGAGAGTCGCCTTCTCCGAGGCAGAGAGTTTGTCGTAGAAGGCCTGCGTCCTATGGTTAGCATCTCATGGTTCACGACTCGTATGCATCTCATGGTGTTCAAGACTCGTATGCATCTGCAGGCCTATACATACAAATACTTGCTCCTGGCCAGCCTTCTGGTACTTTGACTTGAGCTCGTTGAGCTGTTCCTCTGATGGCTCCTTCGCTGGGGCTGCTCCCTGGGTGCCCCCGCCAATGTTGAGCTTCTCAAGCGCGTTGTTTACTGTGTCTTTGATGGCCTCCATGGTGGTGTTATAAGTGGGGTAGTAGTGGGGTAATTTGAATAATGGAATCGAGAACTGGAATTGAACTCAAAAGTCTGAAAACGGCGTGCAGAGTTATATGTAGAGCTTCAGACCCACAGCGCGTTACGAAGAATCGACTATAGCTCAGCTCTGACGGTCGTGTCGCCCCACTCGGCGTGCGTCGTTGCCGCACATGGACAAGGTCGCGCCTCCCGAGATCGTCAGCACCCGCAAATCGTCACTAATTATAGGTAGACGACTATCGTCTCACAACTTTTTGAGTTACAGCTCTGCAATGAAATATTGTTTGTCCCGCACCTGGATGTCATGAAATACTGGACATACTAGTGTAAAAAAACCACTGTAGTCGCCAGACACGTCCATTGGGTGAGGCATACACTGCCCAGTATTTTATGTCACCCAGGTGCTGCCATGAATAGTATTTACCCTGGTTTATTCCGCCATTTGCAGACATACACAGTCTGTCTAGATCCCTCTTGTTGCCCAACAAAAGAGTTGAGAAAAAAAAAAGAAACGTTTGCAGCACCGGCGCAATGCATGAACATCAGAAGCCCGAACCGAAAATTTACACGGAAACCTCAAACGCCTTCATGTATCCACATCACGATTGTCCATTTGTTTCTGTCTGCTTCTCGGGTTCGGCAGGCTTCAACGCCTTTTGTGGCGCAGGGTTCAGGATACGAGTGGCGTCGATCAATCCCGCATTAGGGTTCAGTTCGAGACCAAAACCAGGGAGATCGAGAGTCTTGACATCGAGATAGCCCTTGCTGGGGATGGGCTCATTGGTGAAGCTACAAATCATCAGCGTAAACTTTAATAGATCACAGGTAAGAACTTACAGGTTGCCAAAGACAGGCAAGACGGACTTGCCATCCGGCGAGTTCGCCAAATACTCTTGGAATGGGCAATTGGCCTGAGACACCACAAAGTGGTAAGAGTATGGGCCGCTTGCATGAGGGACCACAGGGATATCATATGCAGCAGCCATAGCCGAAATCTTGAGGAGTTCAGTCATACCCCCGACCCACATGACGTCGGGCTGCAGGATGTCTAGGTTGCGGCCCTCGATGAGTTTTCTGAAACCATATCGCGAGTATTCGTGTTCGCCTGTGGTGAACTTCATGCGTGGATGAGCGCGCTTGATCTGCTCGAAGCCGTCCGAATCGTCAGGGGATAAGCATTCTTCCCACCAGTTCAGGTTGAGATGCTCAGTCGCTTTGACTACTTCGATGGTATATGGTACGTTCAGACTCATGTAACAGTCAACCATGAGAGGAAAGTCTGGCCCAACGCTTTCACGGTGCTTAGTCAGGAACTCTACGTTCTTCTTAAGACCCTCCACACCCTCGCCAGGTCCATAAGGTAGTGGTACCTTTGCGCCGAAGAAACCCATCTCCTTTGCTGCTGCTGGCTCAGGACCAGTGCAGTAGAAGTTGAGCCTCTCCCGAGTTGATCCACCTAACATCTTGTATACGGGTTCGTTGCGAATGTGGCCGAGGAGATCCCATATGGCAAGATCGATTACGGAGATGACGGCGACGGGGAGACCCTTGCGACCGTAAAACATGGAAGCACGGTACATTTGCTCAAACATGTGGTTTGTATCTCTGGGATCTACACTATCGTCAGATTTCATACTAGACACTGCGCATTTGGAGGTGGCTCACCTTGGCCGATCAAGAAACGCTCAAAGTGCTCAGCTACCAGCCAGCATGCCGGTGGCCCTCCAAAGCCAGTAGCAAAGCCTTTAGTGCCATCACTGGCCTCAAGCTCCACACAGAAAGAGCCCAGGACGTTGATTCCCCAGCTCGTTCTCGACTTGCGATACTCCTCATACTGGCTCATGGGGGTAGAGATTTTGCTGTCAATCAGCCAATGTCCGCCCGCAACATTGTGGTAGTCTCCGCCGCTTCCGGGGCCTTGTGTAATGAATGTGCGGACATGTTTGATGGTAGGAAACGGGCGCACGCTGCCAGAAGGCGTAGAAGAAGGCATTGCAATATCGAGAAGAGCAGTTCTCGTGGGAAAGTCAAGAGATGGCAGATAGCGAAAGAGGGGTAACTATGTGCACGGCGTACAGTACTGTATGGTGGCACTACATTATCATATATCAGGACGATCGTATGCGAATTAGCAAGCCGAGAAGCAGGCTCGGTCCATCTCGCAGCGACCTACAACGAGGGTAGAAGGCGTCCTTGACTACACATGGGGCAGCCAAGTGGAGCGCGGTCGGGTTAGAGAGGCTGTCGGCCATGTCGGGTAAAGCAGGACAAGACCGAGCACCGCGTTTCTGCACATGAGCATTGTAAGCATTGTACCGAAATGCCAGCGTCCCACCCAAGGCCACCAATGAAAGCGTGCGGACACACATTTAGCCCGTAGCTACCATATCTGGGGAAAGGGTCTAAAGCTTGTAGGCGGGGCTTTTCCTCGGTACAGCTGCGCGCGAAAGTTCGGCAGAGAGAGCTCGCATCCAAAGGTGCATCTTTCACAATGGAGCAGCGAGCTACTACCCAGCAGCAAACGGGAAGCCCCCACGGTACTGCGAAGCTCTCCAACCATTCACCTGCCGATGCGCACGATTGGAGCGGAGATGAGCACTCCAGCGACGACGACGCCAACGACAGGAGCCAGAGCGGCACGTCGAACAAGAGAAAGAGACCTCTGTCCGTAAGCTGTGAAACATGCAGTACGTGTCACCCGAAAAAGGCGCCGAAAACATGGTTATCCTAACAATGCTATTGTAGAGCAGCGCAAAGTCAAATGCGACAGGGGCGCGCCTGCGTGTTCGTGGTGCTTGAAGAACCACTCGGCATGCGTGAGCTGCTCGTGCTACTGACGTCAACTGCTAGCTGAACTGAATCGCCGACAGGTTTACCTTCCTCGCAAGAAGCCAGGTCTCCGAGCGGGATACGGCCGCGAACTCGAGTCGCGACTTGGTAAGTCGTGTGCCGAGGTCTGCATGAGGTCGACCCATGTGTCGTATCATCGCAAGCTGACTGTCGCATCGCAGACAAGCTCGAAGCCCTCCTTGTGCAGCAGCAGTCGCAGATCAATCATCTTTCCAACAACCAAGTCACTGCTTCTGGTCCCTCTCCGCAAGAGGTAGCTGCCTTTCGAAGCCCGCCCGTCATACAAACGCCCCACATCCCTCGTCCCGAGACGGCTCTCTTCATTCAGAAGCCCACCTTTCCCTCGCAGAACGCGATACAGAGTCAATATGGAAATGGCGTCACGGATAGCAGGCGAACCCCCTCGATTACAGAGAATGGCTATCAGCACGAGGATATGGGCGGTGTGGGAAGCCGCCTCTCAAGAGACGCATACACATCGTACAACGACCCATTCCTCCCCACCATATCAAGAACTCTGGGCCAATCCGATGCCGACTTCCCACCTTATGATCTTTTGTACGGACTAGTCGACTTGTTCTTCAAGCACATCAACACATGGTGTCCAATTCTCCACAGACAGACTACACTAAACTCTCTATTCGGGGATGCGGCGCTCGAGGAAGCAGACAGAATCATTCTGCATGCAGTCGTCGCGACGACTGTCAAGTTTTCCACGGACCCGCGTCTAACCGCGGAAAAGCGCGCGCGGTACCACAAGAGTTCAAAGGAGAAGGTTTTGCTCTTTGGAATCGAAAACAGTTCGGTCAAATCGTTGCAGGCTCTTGTCATTCTTGCACTGGACGTTGTTGGCTGCTCCAATGGACCCCCAGGTTGGAACCTACTCGCTCTCATTACCCGGTCTGTGGTGCAGCTGGGTCTATCGGTGGAGAGTTACTCACCAACCGTCGCTCCCCAGTTCGCATCAATCTACACACTGAGGGCCATGACACTGCCCGAGCCGAAAGATTGGATAGAGGAAGAGAGCCGACGCAGGCTCTTCTGGATGATATATGTCCTCGATCGATATGCAACTGTTGCGACCGCATTTGAGTTTGCACTAGACGAGAAGGAAATTGATCGCCGACTGCCTTGCCGCGACGACCTGTATGCACGCAATGTCCCCGTAGAGACCAGGTGGTTCCAAACCTCGACAAGGTCAGATTACAGCATGAACCGGCCGGAAAACTTGGGCTCCTTTTCATACTATGTGGAAATCCTGGGAATCCTCACACGGATACACAAGTTCCTCAAGAAGCCAGTAGATATCACGTCGTTGTCAGACGTCGAGTCCTGGCAAGGCGAATATCGGGAGCTTGACAATGCCATTGAGGAGTGGAAGTACAACCTGCCCCAGGAGTTTGGCAATGCGGCAAGATTATTCGCAAAACCAGGAATGGGTCACAGTCTAGACAGTGGCTTGGTCATGCTTCATGCAGCATTCCATACGTGAGTTCAGTTGCGCTAAACTACCTATATGTACTGACTCTTCTAGCACCGTGATCCGTCTGCACTCGTCCGCTGCCTACCCCACCCATCGATCGCCAATATTCACCCCGTCTTTCAGCGCCAGTCAGAGGTGCCTCAGCGCCGTCGAGAACATTACCACTCTATGCGCTACTGTACGCGACAATGGCCTACTGAGTAAACTCGGCCCACCCTTTGCGTTTTCTCTTTGGGTCGCTGCGCGTGTTCTCCTCGTCCATGGGTCGACGATTGATCACCGTGTCGACCAGTCGATCAACCTCCTCGTCAGCACTCTACGAGAGATGGGCCAGTATTGGGAGGTTGGCACTCGCTACGCAAGCCTACTTGCCCGCGTTCTCTCCGAGTACCAGGAGAGCCAGCAAAGCCCCACAGGCGCGAACGGTGAACGCGTGACACCATCAACAGTCAAGATCTTGGCAGACATGCGTCGATGCGCCTTTGATCTTGACTTTCTCATCTCCCGACAGCCCAAACTCAACAGCACCCAAAATCTAAAGATATCATCCGTTACACCAGCTCGTACGCCAGCACAGAACGAGTTGGAGTATCTTGACGTCTTTGACTTTTTCAACATGCCTAGGTTGCCGGTGACAGTAGATGGTCCTACGAGCTACGCTGCCCCTGACGGCAACATGCAGATCTCAGACGGTGGTTTTGGAAATGAGTCGAACATCACAAATTACATGGTTGATGCGAGCTCAGACTGGTTCATGAAGCAGACTGCCTGAGATATTTAATACATCGATATCCGATACAAGGCTTCTAGGCAGGAGGTTCAATACAAAAAGGCGTTTGCGATTTAATAGGGAGGAGGCTTGAATCTTGTTGTCGCGTAATACAACACTCACTAGCTTATTTGGCAATGATACCCATTATTTGTTTTGAACGGGTCTTTTAACATGCAGATGTGCTTGACTAAGTTCCTAATCATAAGAGGCGCGCACCTGCCTACGTGGGTTTGGCACTCAACGGAAAGGCTGTTCCGATCTCGGCAACAGCGTTATCGGTGCTGTCAACTCAGCTCACGACAAGCATCTCACATTTTGCTCACACACGATAATTCTTGACAATTTAACAGGTCTTTTCAATGGGGTGCACACTTTTTACGTACTGGTACGACCGTCTTCCTGCTTCCATATGTAGACTTGCTCCTGTGACTCTTCCTATCTGTTGGGCCGTTTACCGTCGGAATAGGCTAAGGGAACTCGGAATAGCTTGGCGATACGAGCGCAGACTACTCCGATGGCCTGATGTATAAGAATCTCAGCCTCTGCAATGTCAATTCACAAATTCATACCATCGTTTTGTTCATTTCAGCAAAGTCGATTACAAGCTCGCGACAATTCGACAGATTCACATACCACAACTACGAAGCATCTTATCGATCAACAATCGTCTCAATTACCACCACCAACATGGCTACATCTTCAGACCAACATCATGTTCTCATCCTTGGTGCAGGTGTAGTCGGCCTGACAACCTCACTTGTCCTGTCTCACACCTACCCTAGCGCGAAAATCACCGTGGTCGCGAAGCATTTCCCAGGTGACCGATCCATAGAATACACATCACCATGGGCAGGCGCAAACTGGTCTTCTATGGCCCACGACAATGGGCCCCTTGAACGATATGACGAGATAACCTTCAAGCGTTTCGGTGAGCTTATTGATGGAAAGAACGTATTTGGCTGTCAATCGTCGAGAGCTGGTGAGACAGAAAGCATAGACGGCGTCAATGGCGGTGGTAATGAGAACGGAATTGGCCGCATGAGTATGTGGGCTGTTTTTGATGCGTCAATTGAAGAGACTGGGATTCTGAGCGAGGGGACGGGGAAGGTGTGGTATGATCAACTTGTTGGTGGCCTGAGAACGTTGGCTGAGAACGAGTTACCCAAAAATGCTGTGTTTGGATTGGAGTTCCCACAAACATATCGGATCAATACGCAGGTATATCTGCAGTGGTACGTTGTGCTCTCAACTGATCTAGTAGTACCTTACTACCGTCGCCAACCCACAAACTGGGTATAGGAGCTATGCTAACGTGAAGATAGGCTCCAGGCTCAAGCCTTGGCCAAAGGCGTAAAACTCGTTCGCCGCCATTACACATCTGTCTCGGCAGTTCTGACCGATCATCCTTCCACGACACTTCTCATCAACTGCACCGGTCTCGGCTCCCTTAGACTATCCGACATCCGTGACACCAATCTCTATCCCACCCGCGGGCAAACGCTCCTCGTTGCCGAGCCGAAGAAACCGATAACCCGAATGTACGAATTCGAGCGTGTCAAGTACGATAACGTCTTGCTTGGAACTTCTTGCTTCTCCGATCCTTTTTATCCATTCGAATATCATCGCTGATAATACAAAACAGGTACCTTCGCTCCCCCAAACGAATTGATCCCACAACCACATACGTCTTCCCGCGTCCCCTCGGCGGCGGTGTCATCCTTGGTGGAAGTCGCCAAGACAACGACTGGAGCGATGAGTGGGACGAGGAGCTCGGCCAGGATATCATGAAGAGGTGCTGTGAGCTTTGCCCTGAGCTGGGGAAACCAGAAGATTTACAGGTTATTGCGAGAAATATTGGGTTGAGACGTGAGTATCCCCTCCTTTTCTTACAAACTATCCGGATATAGGGGAAAATAGGGTTGGGGAGGACTGTGTTGACCGGCTACCAGCTTCGCGTATTGGTGGGCCAAGAATCGAGACTGAGAAGGGGAAGTGGAGTGTTCCTGTTGTGCATTGCTATGGGCATGCAGGAGCGGGGTATCAGTCTTCATGGTATGTATATTCTTTCTTCGGTTCCTCGTGAGCGAGCTTCCATGCTAATATCAACTAGGGGGACTGCAGAGCGCGTGCTAGAGCTTGTTAAGCAGGCTCTAGAGCCTAGAGCTAAACTCTGAGGCTTGTAAAATCGCCCATGGGTAGATTGATGAGATGGCCGAGTAGATTCCAAGCAGTGAAGATGGCATAGTCTTGGAAAAGAATAGAGCGCCGCAAAATTCTACATAATTGAGTTCCTAGTGTGCTCGAACATGGCACCTTCTCGATTCAGCGTGTGTGTTGTGAGTATTACGCGCACGTGACAGCGTGACAGCGCGATTTGCCAAGCCTTAAGTTCGGAATCGAGAAGGGTCCGATGACATCGCTTTCCAAGCAGCACTCACCACATCAACCACCGAAACCTGCCTGCAAGTGATTTCACAGCAGTCCAATGCCCATACAGCTGCGAAGATGTCGACACCGCAAGCGAAACGTCGCCGGCTGAACGAAGCTGCGAAAACGCTCCAGAAGCCGTTCAAATCGCCCTTTCGCACGCCGCTGAAGCCTAGCATAGGCGATGACCCGCCATCGCCTGACCCACCTGATGTTCATGCTTCTGCACATATGACCCCAACCGCGACGATTCCGGCTCCCAAATATGTTGCTTCCAGCGGCAATGGCGGACAGCAATCCTCTAATGCAGCAGTTCCCGGCCAGGTCCCAGCGACGCCGGTAGCCTCTAAGCCGCGTATCTCGAAGCCTCTCGCATCACGCCCAAACTTCTCCACCCCTTCGCGAGTCGCCCCAAAGAAGATACCCTCGAAACCTTCCCTCACGCGTGAGATAATGCAATTGCGCAACGAAATACAGATGCTCAAGCAAGCTCAAACCCTCGCTACCTCCACCAAGGACGACGACCTAGTCGTGCTCGTAGATAAATGGCGGATGGCGAGTCGTGCGGCAGCAGAAGAGCTATTCGGCAGCACCAGAGACCGGGTCAACCGGATGGGCGGGGTAGGCGCATGGAGGGAGCGCGAGAAGGAATCCAAAGAGCGACAATTGAAGTGGGACCAGGAGGAGAAGGAGGCAGAACGAGAGAAAATGGAAGAAGCAAAGGGGAACGGCGAAGTGTCGGAGGAAACGTATGATCGATATGCCGAGATGGATGGTGAGAGGGAGAAGGGAGAGGAAGAGAAGGAGACCTTCAAGTGTGCGGATGATGATGTGAGTATTGCAGAGACATGGCAGGAACGGTACCAGTACTAATTTGCGTCTAGTCGTTTACCATGGATATGATGCTGAAGACACTCAACATTGATCTCAAGCTCATTGGGTACAGCAAGGAGGCGCAAAGGTGGGATGGATGAGTATATCGATCTGGAGTACCAAGACTCCGACAAATCGCATATCAGATTTTATCTTACGGGTAAGTCAGGGGGATGGAGGCTCTACAGCCTGAATATGAGTAACGCGATAAGATGAATTAACACGAACTGTAAGTGGAATCTCATATCTTTATCCACGATATGATAACTAACATTTGCAGAATGTTTGTTTATGAGTACAGCCTCTTACGCACCTAGTTTAGTTTAGGACATAATACAAATCTATATCTTTACCAAAGACCGATCATCTGAGTGCGATCGTCCTTTCTCCACTTTCACACAAATTCTGGATTCCAAACAAAAGATTCACATCAGGGATCAAAGTAAGAATTATAATTAAGTGAGCGACAAATGCATTTTTGGGGTATCATAAGACCTATTCTCAAACATTCCTATCCATATTTCACATATATTCCTCATCATTCTCCATCCATTACTTCAAATATTTACAACAACATCAAACTCATCTAAGAATGGGCATGATCGCGCTCAGTCTCGGTGACTGGCGCACGACCCTTGTAGGTCGACTCCTCAATCATGTTGAGTTCGTCCTCGCGGGCATCAAGTCCCCTCCATGTAAACCAGAAGCCAATGCCACCGACGAATGCCAAGACAGCAACGACGGTGTAGTTCCAGATCAGAAGGGGGTCCTCTGCAAGCGGAACGAGAGCCTGACCGAGGGCGGCAGAGAAGGCGTTTTGCACAAGGTTAACGCCCATAACAAGACCACGCATGTTCTCGGGGGCCTTTGTGAAGGCGTATTCGAGGGAAGTGACGGAAGCGAAAATTTCAGAGAAGGCGACGAGGCAGTAGGGGACGGCTTGGACCCAGACGTTGATGGGGGCTTTGCAGGCGGCGGAGCTGTTGACTTCGGTCCTGGGGCAAGGGGAGAGCTCGTAGATGTAGTATTGGAGCACGGCGGAGCTGACCATTGCGGCTGAGGCGATGAAGAAACCCCATGCAATACGCTTGATGGGCGTGAATTGGAAGCCGGTTTTGCGGATGGCGGGGTAGACGAACTTGTCGATGATGGGGATGAAGATGACGAGGGTTAGCGGGTTCAAGTTGTTGATCAAGTCGTTGGGTACACCGTTGAGCTGGAGAGTCGCGGATTGAGACGTGAGGTTGTTCACCATCTGGTTGTAGGCGAGCCAGTAGAGCGGCATCCAGAAGAAGACCTTGCAGGCGTTGAAACCACGTGCGACTTGGTCAATCCACACATCATCGACACCTTGGAGGAATGCTGGGGCGCTGGCTCCAAGGTGGCTGGGCTTGATGCGGTCCCAGAAGTCCTCGCGTTGGAAGTTGCGGTAAGTAGCGACTGGGTTGGCGGACCAGCATCCCTTGCTGGCGAGCCTGAGGGCCTTGAACGACTTGGAAAGGACGGATTCGGTAGGCGGTGCGAGGATGTACTTCTTCTTGCAGACGATGAGGACGATGGGTGCGAAGAAGAACATGAAGGTCGGGAGCGCGTAGGAGAGCCAGAAACCAATGTACTTTTCAGCGTAGACCATACCGATACCTCCACTGAGGGATCCAGCGTTGATCATCATGTAGAAGTAGAGGTAGATGCGGGAGTAGGTGACTTGGGGGTCAACGATGACGCGCTCGCCGCTCTTCAGGGTCTTGACAGCCGGTCGAGTTTGGGGAATCTGTTCAGCGAGAAGTGGCGAGATGTTGGCTTTGAAACCACCGGTTCCGATACCCATGATGATGAGACCAGCGACGAAGCATCCGAGCGCGCCCTTGGGGTTGTCCATGACGGTAGGGATAGAGGAGCAGATAAGAATGATGTGACCGATAATGGCGAATGCGATGGAGTACTGGATGGTGAGGTAACGACCGAGGTAGGTATCAGCAACGTAACCACCGACGAGGGGCATGATGTAGGCCCAGAACTGGTTGAAAGTGGTAAGACCGGTGGCAGCTTGCTGGTCCTGGCCGAGACCACCAGCTTGTAGACAGGCGTCCTTGCTCCAGCCGGGTGCATCGTAACACGATGAACTCTCAACTACAGCTCCAGTGCGCGAGCCGAATGGTCGCGGCTGTTGGATGAAGTTGACGAAGACTGCAGTTGTTCCATAGTAGGAGAAACGCTAATCATAGGTTAGTATTCTGGTACTATATAAATAATAGAACTTGGATAATAACTTACTTCGCAGAACTCGATAAAGGTGACGGTCATGGCTGTCCATGGGATCTTTCCACTGACACGGCGGAGCGTCTTGAGCTCCTGCTCTGTTGGCTCACGGCCATCTTCGTCAGGCAGCGAAGATGTAACATCATGCTCCTTTGCCAGAGCAGCTTTCTCTGTTGCACTGGTGTCGACGACGCTGGGCTGGTGGGCCTCTGCCACAGCGTACATGTCCTGGTCGAGTGGAGCACTCATACTTGGTGAACTGCTTCGATTGCAGTGCAGGACAAGACAAGGTAGGTGGGTAGGGATGTAACGAGAGGGGTAGGTTCAAGACGACTCGGGCGAGCACGCCATTCATATACGCCGGCCGTGATTCATATGACCCAGGGTCCAATGGCGAAAGCTCACATGGTGTTGTTGCAACTGCAACTGCCCGCGGCTGTCAGCACGCGAGCTTATCGCAGGAAGCCGAAGCGGGTGCACGAGTGGTGGCGGACGCGGCAGATCATTCCTAGAAAGGAAGGAGAGGGCATGATAGTAGGCGGTTTAAATTATTTCAAGAAATACAAGCGCCAGCGCCGATAGCGACGAGCCTCTGCCCAGGTCTAGAGGGAGTCTTGGGTTGCAGATAGCGGGCTTGCCGACGCTTGGCGCGGGTGGGGTGGAGCAACGGAGCCAACCACGTGCCGAGGCATGTCCGCCCCTAGCCTGTGCCGCCGCATGTAGCCTGCGCCAACTACCTCATCATCCACCGTGCAAGCTGGGCATGCTGCAACAACGATGTACCGAAGAAAAAGTTGCGAGTATTCCAGAACTTCTATCCAGGAACACGCACCGATTCATTGGAGAAGGCCCGCAATAGAAGACATGCTCGTCCCTGCGCAACTCGTATTGAACTCACATGATTGGTCCCGGCCGATATCTGGGCGATAGTGCTTAATCCACTATCCCTATCTTGCCTTGTCCTCCAAGTGTCTCGGAGCAGCTTATCACTTCTTGAACCGGCCCTAAGCTCACCAACACCACACAAGCTATCTTCGGTGGCCCCGTACTGAAAGCCTAATCGCTAATCGCTACCGGATGGCACACCATGATGCATACCAACCATCCCACTGCACAGGTCCACCTGTCAAGTTGCCACGGTCGGATACCGGCACCGAACCACTGGAGCGGCGCAGTTGCTTCTCCCGTCCATCTGGAAATTGGTCCTTGGTTAAGGGTCCCATGCTGGCAATCCCCTCTGTTCTCTTGGAGATATCGAATGCGTTCAACCGGTGGCACCCGATCGGTCCAATATTCGCCAGTTTCATGCAACGGTCATCACGACGAAGACGGTAGAATACCCGGCCTCGGTCGTTCCATTGTCCACCCGTCCAACAACTCGGTGGGAATGGGATTGGTTCCTCCAGATAACGAGTCCGCCACTAGATATCTCAAGTGAATAGAATACGAGGTTGGGTGCAACATGTGCAGTGAGACGAATTGTGCACTCCGATGGCATGTTGGCGCATTCAAGGTCGGATTCTCTAGCGTCTACTCTTGGAATCTCTCGCGACGCCCTCTCCCATGAATCGGTCCATTTCACTCATCGTATAAAGTAACTTCTCCTTGCGGCATATCACGCGACCCGACTGTTCATTCTTGCGGGTCGCAGGTCGTATGTGTACTCCTGTCTTGCGCACAGGACATTCACAACATAAAGGATCTCAGTTGATACACAACCAAACAGCATAGCTATCCAGAGCCTATTTAAGACGTCCTAGAGAACGCCATACATTAGAAATGGTGTGCGCATGTCAGTACACCACAAATGTCCTGTCGGAATGACTCGTTTTTTTCGGTAATCGGTGATCCTACCGGCCTTTCAACGGCCAAACGACTTCCTCCACCTACCGAACGAAACGGTATGTCCTGCTTTCCTCTATCTTTTGCTCTCCAGGTTAAACTTGGCCAGATTGTTGTCATCTCTCAACAATTCTACCTCGGCTTAGATCTCGTATTTTCCAGCTTCATCTGACAAACTTGGAGCATGTCACATACGCATCCCTCGCACGCCATGGTCCAGAGAAAAATCGACATTTTCCTTCAGCGCACTGGCCGCGATCTCGAAAAAATGTCGCTTTTTTCTTGCCCATGGCGTGCTTGTAGTCATTTTGTGAATGCACACATACGAAGAGGTCCACTATACAACACAGAATTGACGTAAGCAGGCCGAGTATTATCGCGAACAGTAAAAAGCGCACTCGTCGGTCTCCACTCAGTATGTCTTCCTCGCGTGAGCAACGACCACCACGCTACCCTACCATGTCCGATGACATTCTCTCCGAATAATGCATTCGATTACACAACCTCAACGTCTCCTACGCGTGTTTGAAGCTTCTGTTGAACCACCAGCCTAGAGTTCAATGCAACTGGTTCATTGCGTACATCAACGTTGTTAGGACTAAATATAGTCCCCGATGATGGCCTGGTAACCTCATAACAGGCAATTATGTCGCCTTACCAGGATCGCACCTGCACTTGAAATCCTATATATCTCTCATAGGCATAGTAGGGCCTACCGAGTTATCCACAGCCGAACCATCAATATGGCGTATACAACCCGTAAGCTGCATATTGTGATACTGATCGATAATGACCCATGGACAGTTGGTTTGAACGATGTAGATGGCAAGCTAGAGGTTTGAAAGAACGGACTGAACGTATCTAGACTGAACTAGCATACAACCACGCAAATCAGATTTTACAGCCCTAAAACATCAGCGCAACTTCAAGCACTCAACATAGTATCACTTACTCGCGACTATCTCAATTAACTCTTCTAGCCCCAATAACTCTATTCAACCTCCTCTCTACCCCCTCAACCAACCCCATCAAATCCTACACATCCCTGCCAATATTCGCCACCGTACTCGCCACCTCTCCCACAAACAGCGCCGATGTATGTCACAGTTTGTGTATTCAAGGCCTAAGCGGTTGGTGCTGGCGAGGTGCGTCGTTATCGTCATCTTCGTAGCTGGTATTGGGGGAATAGTACTGGGCTGAGTAGGGAGACTCTTCGCTTGCGTGGGCTGGGGTTTGATAAGATGGGATTTGTTGTGGGCGGACCTGGTATTCAGGTTTGAGAAAGGGATATTCTAGGTCGCGAAACTTCTTGGTGAGATCGCGGATTGTAACACGCATTACGTTTAGAGCATCTTTTGCGCCAATGGAGCGCATGCTTTGGATGTCGCGGTCGAAATACATGGGTTTGCGTTTGCCGCTCCTCGCTTGCCCGCTACTACGTCTTCTTTTTCTGCTCATGTGCTGCCGACTGTTGCTTCCGTCGTGGCCTTCTGAGTCACTGCGTGCGCCGGGTCCATGGCTTTGATCTCTTTTGACGTTTCGCAACCTCTTTCGTACTCTTTTTAGATGGCGCCTTTCTTCTAATAGACCTTATTGCAAACTCAATAATATGTCTTTGATTTCCTCGGGTGCAGCGTAAAAGGTTGATAAGTTTGACCAGGATACTCTTAGGAGCGTGGCTAGTGTGAAGGTGAAAGATACGAAGCCAATGATTGTTGAGACCATGGAAAGTGGAGAAAAAGCTGTGTGAGACACTGTGATACCCATGACTAAAGCTCGGGTATTATAAATCTAATGGTTGCTAATATCGTCGTGCAGATGGATTTCGCATCTTCGAGTGAGCGTTGCGTTTGAGGGGTGTCCAATGAGCGTCGGCGTCGAAAAGATCGGGAGCTTTACTTGGGTATACTGCGGAAAAGCCGGCAACTTGTAATATACGGTACCTGTTCATGAGTGATCCCTAGTGGTAGTTGATTGAATAACGTCATGACTTGATCATGGTCGTTATTACCGGACCAATGGTTAGTAAGCAAGGTTGAGAATCCGCAATCTGTTCAAACTGTGATTGATATCCTCTTCCTAGGTGGTGCTTGTTAGTACTTAGTCGCAAGAAAAGAACGGGGTCTAGCGTGTACGGGATATGACATTTCAGCATGAAGCCTAATAGGAACTTGACGTATAGTACTAGCTCGGATGTGCAGGTAGATTTTGTTTCTTTTGAGGACATGGTATATTGCTACGCCCTCCTAAGTTTACTCTGTGTATCGTACATCTATCTCTACACACATCTAGAACTTGTAGACTTGGTCCTTGCTGTAACCAAGCTCCTTGAGCATACCGTCAAGTTCGCCCTGGTCACTCGGGCTCTTCTTGCCACCGCTGATGGCCTTGTACATGCCCGGTGGTCCGCACACGAAGATCTTGATCTTCTCGCCCTCCTTTGGTTCCGGTAGCACAGTCTTCAGTAGCTCCTTGGTGACGTGGCCCCTTCCGCCCTGCCATGACTCTGGTGGGTTGTCCAGGACGTAAAAGGCGCGGAATCGCTGAGGGTATGTGTTCTCCAGCTCTTCCCATTCGCGCTTCAGCAGAATGTCCTCCTCAGAGACGTTGCCGTAGATGAGGGTGACCTTTGTCTTGTCCTGGGGGTTGCGAAAGATGTGTCGTGCGGTCTGCCACATGGGTGTGATACCGGTGCCACCAGCGATTAAAGCAATGTGCTCATGTAGATTTTCTTTCCACTGGAACTTGGGAATTGGTCCCTTAATGTCCAGCCGCTGGCCAGGCTCCATAGCGTGCATATGCTCAGACATGGGACCACCGGGGTAGGCCTTGATTATGAAGTCGACACTACCCTTCTGGTCTACGTCGCTGATGGGTGTGTAGGGTCGGATGACGGGCTTCTGCATCTCAGGGCCCTTGTACTTGGTGATAACGGCAGCTTTTCTATATTAGTATGCATATATCGATCGTTCAGAAGTAAACATACAAGTAACAGGCAGGCCGCTCTCCATGTCCTCCTCGGGTAGCTTGAAGCGGAGCTTCTTGGTGTTGTGGTTGACAACCTCGGATTTCTCCAGCATGAGCGACACGAAGCCCTGGTCGCCTCCAGTAAAGGCCTTCTTCGCGTCCCCGCTGGATGAAGGAATCTTCTTGGCCTCCTCTGATGGTGGCGCACTACCCTTCTGCCCTGATGGCGAGTCGCCGCCCCTCATGTACAGGTAGGCACCAGCGAGACCAGCAGCGCCAATGCCTGTGTAAAGGATACCATTGTTACCGCCACTCTTGGGTGCCTCAGAAGCATAACGGCGGACTTGCTAACCCGGGATCAGTATCAAGCGCGAAGATTGGGGGAATTCATTTATCGCAAATCTTTAACAATGGGGTCGCATACCTGCTGTAGCGTCCTGGCCGGACGAAATACATGTCTGGCAAACATGGCGAGACGAATTGGTACGATAGAAGGTGGATTGAGGTGGGATTGAGGTGCGTGAAAGAATAAGCGGCGTTATCAAGGTCCTCCTACGCGGGCGCATTGAGCTCGCTACAAGCTAGCGCCAAGAACAAACGTCATCACTGTTTGACATGCCGACAACCCCGATCTCATTCACGCTCATCATTATCATGCTCGCCCTCTAAGAAATTCGCGTCCTATTCCATCTCGTTACTGCAACTGTATCTCTGTACATCTGTTTCGAAATAACAAAAAAAAGGAAATCACCTCACTAACTCAACCTCTCCTACAGCACCGTGACTGCCGACAGAGAGCACCGTTCATCTTGCGATTATTCGGTCAAGTCGTGATACTACGACCCTTATTTCATACTCGCTGACCCCCGCATTGGAATGATCCATGCCCAATAAAGTCGATAATTCATGTGCGGTTACCATGGCCTTCACGTGCTTGGATCGCAGTTGTCTCAGGCCTTATAGACTCAGCGGTAATACGATATATATTTCCGTTTTTCAAAAATGCGCTTCATTTACTCAGTCTCATGGGTTCTAAGAGTTCACTGCGTTGGCACGCCTTTCACAGAGATAACGGGAAACGACCAACCGAGCAAGTACAACGTCACTCTCTTGCCGATGACTGCGGGCGCAATATGTGGTACGTCTCTAGGTATGGAAAGACTGGTACAAGATTGGTTAGACCCGGACCCTGTTCTTACCCACAAGCGGAGCGTCGCAGTGAGAGACGAGCAATATTAGCTCGCACTCACTACATTGTCTCTTCTACCTGTTTCCACAAGAGTACATAAGACCTCTTCATCCAATCCTTCCCTCTCTCTCACTATCTACCCCATATCAGTCAAAGCCTCGCAACCGACACATGAGCACGACTCACACCGTATTAGAATCTACCTACGATAGCACGCAGCACTCGACACAGCTCGCACCATAACACTCGTGCTCAATCAAACCCGCAGGATCTATCCGTGCTACGTCTTGCAGCCTTGACGAAATCGCAACTCACAAACAGCAATGGCACCAGCCACCAAAGCGAGTTGTCACGGATACTTCCCTGTGCCCAACCTTAATGTACCGCCAATCGCCGCGGCGCCCGCTTGTACCATATGCGCACTGGAAAGCCACATCGAAGAAATCAAGGGGATCCAAGCTGCTCTGGACAGCCGCGGCGGTATTTTCAAGTCTAAGATGGCGGAACCGAAGACTGAAAATGGTGGGATGTACGCTGACCATCAAACTTGGATGAGGAAGTGGCGGGGTGCGAAAATCAAATGTTGCCGCTTGGTAGAGGCCTTGGAGAGGTTACGTGATGAGCATCCGGATATGATGGAATATTGGGGTATCGATGAAGCGCTGTATCTGTGGGAATTAGCAGCGGACGAGTGCTGCAAGGTCCCAGGATACAAGTATGTGGGAGATGCTCCAGAAGAAGACATTGCTCTCGAAGACACCAAGGAAGTGGAGTCGACCGCGTCGATACCGATCGTGATCCCAGCACCAAAAGAGGATATCTCGCCTGAGGATGATAGTGGCTGGGCTATCGTCACGCACATATGGAAGAAAAGATCGCAATCATGGTCGCTTCCGTCGGAGGACGAAGAAGAGAAGCCCGGGACTGAAAACACTATTCTCATTGAGCTGGAGGCCATTGAAAAGAGCCTGGCTCAGCTGGAAGCTATCAACAAGATCCTGGCTAGGCCCCAAAGTTTCTCCAAAAAACCCTCTAAGGCGCTCGCTGAGGCATTCGGTGACGACAGTGATGACGATGATGGCGAAACCCGTTCTACTACCGTCATCAAGGCGTCTGAGACTTCGAGTGCGACTCCAACATCTACATTCACTCCAAATCATGAGCATGCGACCCACAACATGCCCCAATCAGAGTCTAAGCGCATGTCACATCTCGGTCCTCGTTGCTGCAAGTCAGTAATCATCAATCCGGAAGCAACCCTTATTCCGTCCGATGGCGACCAGATCGTTACCCAGCCCCACAACGAACATGCGGCTGCCGAGAAGCGTAGGCATCGTTTGACCTGGAATCGACGCTCGCGTAGGTACAGCCCATCAACCTGGGCCAGTCCCGATGGCTGTGAGAAGTACGATACAAGCTGCTTCAGGGTGAGCTGGATGGCCCTTGAGCGTTCGATGAACAGGGCACAGAACAAGACAGAAGACGACGTGAAGGACAACATGGCATTGACGGAGGAAGCCATGGGGCTGCGTGAACGTGAGAAGATAATTAAAGAAGCCCAGGAGGCATACTTTTCTGGCCATGGTCATGCACGAGTCTCAATGTTGCACGTTTGTTGGTCTGCACAGGAGAAGAAAAAGAGGTCCATAAAGAAGGTGGGAAAGTCAACAGAAGAAGATAGTGAGCAGAACATCGTCGGCGAGACTTGTGGATCTGGGGATTCAGCAGAAAGTGGCGTATATCGGGAATGAGTGTTTAGAACATGAGAATGGAAGAAGAATGGGTATGTACACCTCCCGAAAGCATCAATGGTCCTTGTACTCAGGAAGCTGACGATAGATTAGTTTCACAGGTTCTATCATTACAGCGACATCTTCACGCATGTCTGTTATAGCTGTTAGGACTAATCTCTTTTTTGTAACTGTCATATTCACAAACATCTAGTCTTCACGTATAGCTTCAGCTTTCGTATGCATATCAAGAATGATACAGACGTCTTTATCAATTCAAAGCCCTGGAATCAACTATGGCTTCATTCATATCTTCAATTTCGATGAGTTCTTCACACGCACCGGAAGAGAAAAAGATCGACTGGAATACACATCCTCTTCACGATGCTTCGATTTGGTCACACTATATCGCCGTATGAAAAGCATACCTAAAGTTCTCTTTTGTAGATAAAAACACATCCTCTAGACTCTGGAAGTCATTGTGTATTTACTGAAGCGCCCGAAGAAGAAGATACGCAGCACTCATCACTACATTTACATGTCATTTTGCAACCCTTACTCCCTGTACCAACACTAGCAAAAGGAAGGCATGCACCCCTTCAAGACGCAGCAGCATAGTAGCAAGGAATTGCCACAAGTGCAGCCTCGACTGCCACAGTGTCAACAGCCCCGGCCACAACCACCCACTGTAAATTATATATTTTATGAAGTTCCTAAAACAAAGAAGCCCGACATCAAAACGGCCACAGTACCTAAAGCACATAAAGATCGGTTGCCAAAACCCGAGAAAACGCCCTTAATCCGTTCTCTAGAGCATTCAAGATATCCTCTCCCTCCATCGAGTATGCAACCGCAAAAGGGCAAGGTGTTCTCCCGTGTAGATCCAGATACGTGGATGACTCCCCTGGGCGATGATCTTAGGCCAACGAAAGAAGAAGAGTGGAAAGGGAAAAGGTTACCGAGTGCGGAGAGTGCGAACTTCAAGAATATACATGCGGTCCTCTTCACGAATAGTAAGGGTAAGAAGATTTGGGTGGAGACCAGTGGGACAAGTACGAATCATCGAAGACTTTGGGTCCCGGGTTGGGATCAGATCTAGGTAAGCGGGGGTTCTAGGGAGGTCATTTCAAAAGGAAAATGAATAAAGGATGAATAATCGGGCGAAGGGCAATGTCCAGGTATACATGTGTACGAAATTGGAGTCCACTTGCAAATTACTCAACCCGCCGTATATTACGAATCTCGAGAGATGACAGACATATTTTATATCCACTTCCAAGTGACATTCCGCCCACCTTAATATCCTAGCGTGTTGCAAGTGGTGATCTTCATCAGCGGTATATGACTAAAACGTCATCGAAAGATCTTTACATTCAGGGTGGATACAGAAAGCTTAACAATGACAGCGCCGTTACGGTATTGCCACATGTGGTTGACAAACGATAGAACAATCACATGTAATTTGTTGTTTTATGACAGCGATCCACTCATTAAGAGGGAGGAAGACACGCCGTCTAGAACACTACGAGCATCTATCTCCACCCACCGTAAATCATCTCCACATGACATCTAACTCAAGAACATCATCCACCGAAGCGCTCAAAACCGCTCAAGTCACACCTCAGTATGGACCCAACTTCTCCCATCAAACCCCAATCCACCAACAAACACAATTCCCATACCCTCATCCCTAAACTCCCCACACCACCACCCTCGCCAAGCGCCCCACCTACAACCGACACACCTCCCTAGAGCCAACCTACAACGCAGACATGAGGCAGCCAACGGTGTACCCAGCTCTGCACCACTCTGGGCAACCATGGCCGCCAAGGCCCATCTAGCGCGGGAGCTCTGCGGGCCGCAATGTTTGGGATCGACGCCTCAGGTGAGACATCAAAGGACAGGATGGGATAGCTAAAGTTGGGTAGGTAGGGGGGAGGGGGGGGGGGAGACGGGCCGTCTACCACATGCATGACATGGGAAAGCGATGCTTTTTTGTGTATTGCGCATGAAGACGTGCGATGGGGAGAGGAAAGATGAGGGATGAACCTTGGTGGAACGCGCGTTGAGTGTTGGCGAGTGCTGGGTCCACACAGACGCGGACGCGGACGGTTGGTTGAGTTGAGATGGGTTTGGGCTTGGCTCTGGGAACTTTTATTGTCTGTATGGTATGTAAAGGCTGGCCACGTAAGTCCATTATTGGAAAAGAAAGGTTATTGAGGAAAAAAACGAAGGAAAGAGGAAAGGACGGGCAATCAGAGAAAGCCTATCGGAACTGCACGTTAATCGCATTAGCTCAAGTCAAGTGTACTTTCTAGCTCCCCTCTGCAGCGTCTATGGTTCCACAGGAAGGAACGAGTGAGAATGGTGGCGCATGCAACGTGTAATAACATAATCAAATCTTACTACAATGCCAAGACATAAGGCGGCGGAGCACTTTCCTCCTAAAGAGCCTCAGGCCATGCATACAATGCCTGACCCGAAACAGTTCCTGCCCAGGCAGAAAAAAAATTCCCGACATACTGGGCGCAATTCTTGATCGGCGGTTGGGAGCAGCGGGTGCCCAGGCTTGGTAAGGCACGAACCTGTGGCGTACGAGGTTTCGAAACTGCATCCAAGCCCTGGCGCATGAAGGCGTGGCTGTGCAGTGTTGCAGGTACAGCATGGTAACCGATGGCGCACCGCCATTGTGTGACCAGGATGTCGTCGTTGTTTGACCCGTTGGGATGTCCCTGTTGCAGTGCATGATGGCAATTGTAGAGGTTTACGAGGGAGACATGTGATTGATGACACTTCCGCCCATACTTACATACTGGCATATTTGTCGTGACTGGACTTGACCTTCATGTCTAGAGCTGTCTCATGGAAATTGCCTTCTACCTTTGCCTTTCGCAATTTCTTGACCTCGGCATCGTTGAGCCTTCGTCCAATCTGGTCTTCCAGCTCCTTGCGACTGATTTTCAAATTAGCCTTCTCCTCCTTGTTCGCCTTGAATCGAGGCTTGAAGCGCGCTTGCATGCGGATGCGAAACGTGGTGTTGAAGTTGATATGTTCTGTGTCGCCTCGAATCTCAGCCCCGTCTGTAGAAGACTCGTCAATGCTGAGAAATTTGTCACGCGCAGTTTGGAGGGAGAAGGCGCCGGGGTTGTCAGGTACGGGGATGATGATGAAGGATTCTTCGGGCGAAATGGCAGTTGCTGAGGCACTAAGGATGCCAAATTTGTTGCAGCCAAGATAGCTATATGTTGTTAGTATGTTTATGAAGCATCTGAGGCCTCGGTGGTGTTTGTACCTTCCATGATGTCCCTTGAAGCTCACTTGTTCTGTACCAGCGACGCGATTCGCAACGAAGACCTGGCGCACATCGTGCGGTTCGGCCGTCGCCAGGTCCTCCTCGACCACGTTTTCCAGGTTACTGGTAAAGACCTTGCCATTTGCATCGCATGCTAGACAGCTCGGCGCCTCGGTGGGCAAAACAATGACAACGGGGCCAGAAATATCGCTTGGCGCCTCCGCGCTCACCCAGGAGTCGTCATTCTCAGCCTCGGCAGGCGCGTTAGTGGTGAGCTGCTTGGAGCGCGCATCGTCGGCGTCGTACGGCTCGGCTGTTTTCCTCTTCTTCTTCACCTTCTTGTCGCCTTTGAAGTGGAGTGCCTTGGGCATGGTGATGGATGCAGTCGTGTTGTTTGGTTGTCGGAGCTGGAGTTCGGCGATGGCCGAGGCCCAGGCAAATTAGGCAGGTGCACTCGAGGTGGACTATTTCGCACACTACGCGCACGATAAAGTGGCAGAGTTGGCTACATAGTCAATCAATCGTCGTCATCATACAACGCCTGCATACTGGACTGCACTGCACTGCACTGCAATCTGTGAAAGACTAAATGGCAAACGCTAAAGCTGCAGTGAGCCAAAGCGCCGTTGCTGTAGGCCTTGAGGACCTGAAGAACAGTAAGTTGGGTGATTCCCATGCTATTGAGTGTGATACTGATGGACGATCACTTCAAGGCAATGTTGAATTCTCCGTGCTCGAGGAAGCGTTTGGACCCTCCAGCTTGGGCATTATAGTTGTGAAGGATCTCCCGTCAAAGTTCCATGAACTGCGGCACAGACTACTGTCCTACGCCTCGGCCCTTGGAAACCTACCAAAAGATGAGCTGGGTAATGATTCCCAAACTTAATGATAATTATAGAAAAGAACTAATGATTGGGCAGCAAAGCTTGAATCACCCGCTTCCAAGTGGCTAGTAGGCTGGTCGTGTGGAAAGGAGACGCTCAAGGATGGCAGGTACGATACTTTGAAAGGGTCGTACTATGTCAACTGCGCTACTGCCTTTGAGGAGCAGCAAAAGGCAGTTGCCGAGAAGTACCCGTCCTTCCCAGAGTACACGGCACCGAACGTGTGGCCGTCCGAGCAACTCCTGCCGGGTTTCGAGGCAACGTTTCGCGAACTCTGCACTCTCATCATCGACATAGCCGCATTAGTGGCGCGAGCATGTGACAAGTACGCCGAAGCCAATATCGAAGGCTATCAAAAAGGTTACCTGGAGCATGTGGTCAAGACGAGCATCTCGACCAAGGCAAGACTACTGCACTACTTCCCCAGTCCCGCGTCGGCACCCCAACCTTGCAGCGGCGACGAAGATGACTGGTGTGCCACGCACCTCGATCACGGCTGTCTGACAGGACTCACGTCGGCCATGTTTGTTGATGAAGCTGTCAGCCCACCGCAAACAGGTGCATCGTTTTCACCACTCCAAGAACTTGGCAGTTCGCCGGACCCCAAGGCAGGTCTATATATACACTCGCGGACCGGAGCTATCACCAAAGTCAGCATCCCTCGCGACAGCCTCGCCTTCCAAACGGGCGAAGCACTTGAGATTATCACCAAAGGCAAGTTCAAAGCCGTGCCCCACTTTGTGAGGGGTGCCGCGGCTGGAGCTGGCGGGAGCAAGGTGGCCAGGAACACATTGGCAGTGTTTACGCAGCCTAATTTGTGGGAAAAGGTAGACGAGAAGCGGGACTTTGCAGCGTTTGCCAAGGAGATAGTTGAAAAGAACCATTAAAGCTTTGGTGGTAGTGGAGGACATGTAGAATGACATCACGCAGCTAATTTATGTGATGTTTACGGTATACTGTACAATATCTAACAAGGTGCCAAGCGTGGAACTCGTATACTTGCCGCTAAATCTACGCGCGCCTAGAGACGCACGGCATCCGCTAGCTGGCTGAGCAGCTGCACGTTGACAGAAGTTGCTGTGGCTCGTGACGCAGGGCGCTAAGACATGTAGGCGGGAGAGTGGCAAAGCTTGTTGTCTTGATGCAGTGAGGATCCTAGCAGGAAAAAAGAGACGGAAAGAGGCTCATTTCGGCTCCCCTTTCAGCGCATAACAGCAACGCGTCGTCTGTTACGCATCAGAGGTGGTTCAAAGGGCGCTAGTAGATCGCTGTCTCATCCGCGATTGACTTATTGCGCGGCCTCGAAACACGCACAATAGCGGTACCAGGTAATCTACGCGGGCGATCGCATCCGTCCTGAGGCTGCTGGTGCTGGCTTAAATCGAGGCCAATCCTGGGGCACCTCGCACCCTCGCACCTGCAGACGACGCCAGGCCAAACGTGGGGGAGGTTTAGCTACGTAGTGAGACCAGTGATAAGACCCCGTGGTCGCAGTTGCATTCTAATTCACCCTTGCGCCACAATCTAGCCTCTTTCTCGGCTTGGAGTTGGCGGGCGTACGACACTCGCTCGCCACAGCAGCGAGACATGTTGTATGTGTTTGGCGGTGCCGGGTGCCGTTGGGCCCAATCTCTGCCACTTCCACGGCCAATTATCCAGGCGGCGGCTTACTGCCAAGCCATGGTAGTCCTGAAACGGGTGGGGACTGCTTCCACCACCCGCCGACCTTCATGACGCGGCCACCCATGTTGGCTCGGCGCTTGTTCCCCTTTCCAGCCCCCAAACCAATGACACCAGCTAGAGCCGCTGTCCTTGCTCGACAGATCGATATCATGCCAAGACTAGGTATCCGAGATGCCGTCTTCGCATGGGGGAACTTGCTTACACCCTGGCCATGCACTTAACTTCCTTCTTAGTCCCATCCTATCCACCACCAATGCAGCTACTATAGTCGTCACCATCGCTCTTTTTTCCTTCCCTTTCTTGCTTCCCTACCATCGCTGAGTGTTGTTATACCTTTGACACAGGGTCCTACCTTTCCAATCTTCAGTCGTTCAGTCGTTCAGTCGTTCAGTCGTCTGCATGCGTATGTCTTTCATTGCAAAGGCTCCGTTGTCGCTTGCCCGTGCCACCATCTCCAGTCTTGCAACTCCCTTGGAACCAGCTGGAGGCCCAGGCAAGATGTCGAATAACCGTCAGAACGTTACGTGGGTCGAGGTTCGTATTCAGACTACGCTTATGCAACTCGGTCTAAACTTAAGCAGGGCGTTCGCGGAGTAGCCTCGTTCTGGGTCGTCGTAACACATTTATGCAGGGCCTGGGACTACAGTCTGTGGTCACCACGAGACAGCGAGAATGCCACTCCTCAGTTACTGCAGCTGCCCTTTATCCGCTTGCCATTCCAGGGCCGAATCGGTGTAACCATGTTCGCCTTCCTCACCGGATATGTATGCGCCATCAAACCACTCCGACAAGCAAAGTCCGGAAACATCCCAGCCGCCTTGGAGACGTTGGGCAAGTCGGCTTTCCGTCGTCCACCCCGTCTAATCATGCCCGCGACCATTGCTTTGTTCATTGCATGGTTTTTCGCACAGCTGGGTGCTTTCGAGGTCGCCCACCGCAGCGACTCCCACTGGTTCCGCCGCTCCGTTCCAACCAACATCGGTGGTCTCGATACCGAAATCCCGCGATTGATCAAGAACTTCCAGACATCATGGTCAGGCGCCAACAACGAATACGATGACCATCAGTGGGCTCTCCTTCCTCTGCTCCAGGGCGCCTTCCTCATCTACGTCCTTTTGTTCGCCACCGTCTTCATGAAGGTCCGCATGCGCCTCTTTACCTGCGTCGTTTTGTTCCTCTGGTACTGGATGCGTACCAGCCCTGAAAAGGGTATGTCTTACTACCTCCCCATTCAAGTACATGTCTAACAACTTTAGAAACTTTCGAGTGCCAGTTCCTCTACGGTGTCATTCTCTGCGACCTGGGCTCTGAGAAGGGCTTCCGCGATTTCGTCAACAACCGCGTCAAGGCCCGTCGAGTTGCGGCCACTCTCCTCATCATCGTTGGCTGGTATGTAGCTTGCTACCCCGGAGAGCACGCCGAATGGTCCGCGTGGTCGGTTCAGCTCAAGAACATTGGAGACTACATTATCCCCCAGGGCGCGGCAAGCTACCCCAAGCGTTGGACCGCCATCGGATGGGATCTCATGGTTACCGGAATCTGGCTATCTCCTTCTCTCCAGAGCATGTTCTCGAACAAGCTGTTTATGTGGGTCGGTCGCAATAGCTTCGCCGTCTACCTCACGCACGGAACCGTCATGAAGGTCGGCCTCGCACGATTGATCTACGGATTCAGCACCGCGCCATACTACGTCGAAGAGCCAAAGGATGGTCAAGGCGAGGGCGTGCAGCATTGGATCCCCAGGTCTACCAACTGGCTAGTGTGGGCCATGGCCATTCCCCTCTTTTTCGTCGTCGAATACACCATCGCACATCTCTGGACTACCTACGTCGATGCACAATGCGCCAGGGCTACGAAATGGCTTGAGGACATGATGTTTGAGAAGAGCGAGGATGAGAAGCACGGTGTAGCAACCATGGCTTAAACGGCAAACCACAACAATCACACAACATATCAATAGGAGCATACAGACGAGAACCTCCTATCTCTCAGCGATAATCGAATTTCAGCGCCGGGGTTTTTTCTATTTGGTTTTTCCTAGTGTTACGATTTCCTATGTTCGGGTACAGCATTTGCGGATACCAGTCAAGATTGCATTTCAGGGAGTTATGGATTAAAGAACTGGGCAACTCGCATAGAGACCCGATGAGCAAACGGTCTGCGCAGCCAGGACAAGCACGCAACGACACCTTGTACAAAGAAAAGCTCAGCTACCAAAACATATAATAGATCAAAACAAACATTTTCAGCCCCTTGACCGTTCCTGCCGATCCATGTTGCATGTTCCGAGGTAGAGCCTGGGAGCCGCAAACAAACCTCACGCCGACTGCAGCCCAGAGTTTAGCCTTTACACCGACGGCCGATAAGCACTTTCGCAACAGCCGCGGCCATCGCGAGAAAAAGAGGACCACAGCCCAAATGCCCACGCAAAGAATTCGTATCAAAGCATGCCCCCATCCGGATAAACATTAGATCAATCGTCGATGTCGATAGCCAACACCAACAAACCTGCACATGCACCATGCATATGCCCACCCCACTCCAATCCTGCACAACAAAAATCCTCTCCGGCATTACTAGCAAACAACCAGGGCTCTGCAGCCGACCCATGACGCAATGACATCAGCGCGCATGCCCATCCCTCGGGATCTGCCGCCACAGTTGCTAGATATGACCTTCATGCGTCAACGCGCCATCATCTATCCGCACCATCACACCTCACAACATGTCGCCGCTAAACGTTCTGGACTGCTGCATATCACGAGCCACACACACACACACACACACAGTGCCGCGCCAGGGGGTACAGCTGCCTTCTAAGCTCCTTCACTTGGGCCTTGGCCGTCCTTGGCGGGCGCAGGTGGCTGTGCCGGCGAACCGTAGTGTGTATTGTGGGCGTAACCTTTTACCTGCCTTTGTTGGGTTGGTCGTGTAGCCGGTGTGTCCGGGTTGCGGCTTGGGAGGGAAGGTGGGTTCGCTGTTGTTCATGCGTTGGCCGTGACAAGACGGAATTATTCTTCACTCGGCACTCGTTTTCTGGGCAGCCAGCAACCAGCGCAAAAAAGGTAGGTTCAGGTAGTTTGATCATGGTGCAGGGATGCATAGGGGGTTGGGGCTGATAGGGCCTCGATCTTGACGTGCCTGTACGCTTTTGGACCCTGGGATTGTCGTGGGGGGTTGTGACTACCTGTGTATCTTCAGTTGCCTTGGCTTGTGGTATGCTTTTTATCTTGTTTCTCGCTTCGCGCATCAAGTCTATGCCTCTTTTTTTCATGCAGCTGAGGTTCGGTTTCTCGCTTGTCTTACTCTCCGTCTTACATGCTTCCGTAGTCGAGATTTGAACTTGAGCTGACCCTGGCGACGTGGAGCATGGTAATTTGAAAATTATCGTGTGTTGCACATCGAGTTGCAATATTTTGGAACTTTCCGTTTGGCTGTACCCACCTTCACCGGGAGAACTAGCGGATAATGGAATAGGTCCTTTTGGCCTCTTCCTTGCATGTAAGCACGTTAGCGCTGAGTAAAGTAGGTATGCCTGCGGTGTTTTAGTAACAGATAATCTACCATGTCCAACAGCCGCTAAGGAACAGTTTCCCTCGGTGTATTAGAGTGACGTCGTACGTACGCTTTCGCGTCGGTAGCGATCGTAATGTGGAGGGTGGGTGGGTCAGCGAAGAAGAGAAGACATCGGTCGCAGGGTAGGAGCGGTGTAAAATTCAGGTAGTTATAACTACCTAATTTTCCGATTAACGGTTATCGTGTAACTACACACTAGCGTACTAGCCTCAGGTACGAATCCCGTCGTGAAACGACTTCATGTACCCCACAACGCCCAAGTAGATCTTCCCCGCAAGTATAAGCGGAAGCCATCGTGCATCGACGAGCCCTTCGCTTATCCGCGATTGGCAGGTAAAACGATTGTGGTTACTGCTTGTAAGAAGAAAGACGTAATCGGAAGAGTAAGGTGGTACGTGGAAGGTGTCACGAGGATGCTGTGGAGTATGGGTAAGTATAGCGATGTACATCGAGATAGTCCCTTTGGGGAATACAACAGTTTGCATGCGAGATATTATGAGAATATTTCGGTTTGAAATAAACGCAGGCGTGGCAGTAGGTATGGTAGTGATAGTCACTTCCGATAAGAGATGCACACAGTGTGTCTGGCAAAGATGTCGAAACTTTTGTCCTTATACTGACCCATGGGACTTGAGAACCGACCCGATTTTCTGAACACAGTATACTTTGGATTACCAGAATGAAAAAGATACTTGGGCTTTACAATGGAATGCTTACCATCGCTCTATTACTTGCTGTACTTAGTCTACTTAATCGGTCAGTACTCTGATTACTTCCCGCCTGATTGTTTTCTCAATTTTAACTCGGCCACGCCTACTTGAAGCGACTTTGGCTAGAATCGTCAAAGAAATGGCCGCTCTACCCAGCGGTTAAGAGTCGTCATGAACTTAGACCCTGAAACCACACATTTAGAAGCGGCGAGTGCGAAAATATGTGAATATTGCTAGGGATGAAACACTTGTTTGGTTGAAATGCGCTTGTCAAGTGTGAGGAACGAGCAGTGAATCAGTGAATGCGCCTGCATCGCCTCACCAGATGTGACGGAAAACTCAAGCAAAAAGGGCACGCGCGCACGCGCAATCATAGTAATGATGCAACTAATATTTCCTCTCACATAAAATTGCTCATTCGCCACCCAGTAATACTCTACCACAGCTCAACATCACCCTGAATCTCCAGCGCCGTGTATTGGACGAACCACACTTACAATCCCCACTTGGAAACTTTCGCCAACTATGGTTCACGATAATGAATCCTAAACCCTCACATCCCAGAAATTCTATTTAAATCAATTCATCGTTTCAAACACAACATCACACAAGATATTTCACTTCTTCGCATTAATAGTTAGCAATACCTGGCCATATTTGACACTACAACACAAAACAATCAATATGCCAGGCGAATACGCACATGACGACTGGACCTGGACTTGGTCCATATTCCCCCTTTCCTGCCTCCTTGCCGCCTTGACATTGGCCACCTTCGTCCTCGCATTCCCACCAAGCAAGAGCATCTACCGCAAGGTATGGATGTGCATCATCGCCATACCAGTATGGTACGCATTTCGATACTGTGACCACGTCTCGCACGACTACCTCATCAACGACACATTTGCACGGACCTGCATCATCTGGCTCTCGCACGCGAGTTACGAAATCTGCGTGCTGGAGTTCAAGCCACTCTTGAATCGCGAAGAGTGGGGGCGACGAAGCAGTGGCCTGCTGAAGCGAACAGAAGTGAAAGAGAGGTTCTATCAGGCTCGCAAGGTCCTGTGTGATCGCAATCATGTGCAGGTTGCTCAGAACAAGGGCCAGTACTTGCCTGTAGCGTCGGATCCCTTCAACGGCGACATGAAGTACACGATCACTGACAAGAAAACCGATGAGCACGTCGGAACTGCCACACGCATCTCACATGGTGTGCCCATCCCGGAAGGCCATAGCCATGGATACACGCGCTGGAAGCTTGTGCGCTATCACATCGTCAAATGGCTCGTCTTGCGTGTTATTCAGCTTGCCCTCGCGAAATACGAATCGACATGGTCCCCTATGATACTATACCAAGACACTAACCACACATTCTCGCCCACCGTCAAGATGCTGTACCAGATTTACTGCAACTTCGAGGATACGATTGACTGGTGCTTCGGAAGTATCATGTTATACGACTCCTGGCACAGCGTCTTCGCCATCTTGTTCCTCGTCACCTATCTTGACGAGCCCCAGGAATGGTCTCTGTCTCTCTTCGGCAACATCAAGAATGCGTGGTCGGTGAGGAGCTATTGGAGCCGCCACTGGCACAATTTCATCTACCACTCCTTCAACGGCCACATCAAATGCGTCACGCGAGGCTGGCTGGCCATGAAGCGCGGAACACTCTCAACCCGCCTGACTGAGAATACAGCCGTCTTCTTCTTATCCGGGCTTATGCACACGGCCGTCCGCTGGCAAATGGCTCCTTGGGCCGATATCTGGGCCATCACATTCTGGTACGTGGCCCAGATGGTACCCATCATCACCGAGACTGCTTTTGTACCTTTGTACCGGAGCGTGAGAGTATACGCGGCGAAGCGATGGCAGTTCAAAGAGGATGCAGAGTGGGTGGTCCGCATGGAATATGCGGCTGGCTACTTTTGGGTCGCAATTTGGTTTGGGTGGTCTATTCCAATGTATTACCATGTACGGGATCAGCGGACAGACATCTTGATCGAGAGACTCCGACTCGAATACCTGCAAGTGGCGCTGGCAAAGGGCAATAGGACTGAGTAGGAGCTAGGCGGTGGGGTTGTTTTTATAGACGCAGCATGAACGTTGGGGTAGGCAACATGGAGTATGGCGTCTTTTCATACACGGCGTAATACCATGGGGGTTGAGAAAGTAAAAGTAGTATGCCCCACAACTTATATTTGCACTTGAATCTTATATAGGCGGAGAATTGATTTGGTGTGATTTCCTAGTTGTTTTTCGGATGTTGGTTTCCGGCATGTATCTGTGCTTCAATTTGCCATGAAATTTGCATGGAGTTGATGACACGCCCTCATTTGAACCGTCTTGGTCGATACATATTTTAAACCTATCTATTTTGTGGCACCAAAGTGATCGCTTAGTACTGTACCACGGGAATGCTTCCTAAAGAGTTATACATGTCACCAGATCACTATGCAAAAGAAACAAAACCCGTCGCCATGGTACGCAGTGCAGTGTCGATTCGGTCGGAGGACGTTTCCGTTCAATCTTACCCAGCATGGCATCATTTAACGTATGCAAGTGCCAAAGCTCAGACGCGTGTGCTAAAGCCATACTGGGAAATTGATATGATGAGCATGGACCGTTACGTTGACGCAACCTCTATCAGTGCGTGAAGTGGAACACACAAGATCACCACGTATCTATCTCCACACACTGCAGCACGTCGAAATAAGACAATCATAAATCATAATTGGGTATTGAATTATCGTTCTTCATCTTTACATTACACTGTAATTATTTCATCTCGTCATGAGTCGACAGCTTAGTACCTGGTCAACTTGGGGCTGCCCTCGGACGCCGGGAAACTCCACTTTGTCTCCACAAACACCTTTTGCATGCCATCCTCCTTCTTCTCAAACTTGTAGTAGACCTTGTCAAGGTCCTCGAGACGGACACGGTGGGTGACCATCTTTGATGGGTCAATGCGCTTCTCTTGGATCATCTGGAGGAGAGACTCCCAGTACATGTGTACGGGGGCCTGTCCATTGCCGATGAGACGGATACCGCGCTCCATGAGAGAACCAATGTTGAAGTGGTTGGTGAAGCCAACGTAGACACCGGTGATACCGCAGCGGCCCATGTTTCGTGTGCTAGTGATCATCTCGTTGATGAGCTCGCTGGTGTCGGTCTCGAGACCAAGCATCATCTCGAAGTAGTGTGCCCAGCCCTTTGCGTACTCGCCGGCAGCGCACTCAATGCTGACGTCGGGGCCGCGGTTGTTGCACATCTCCTTGAGCTTGCTAGTGACCGATTCGCCCTTGCCAAGTGCAGAGAAGTCGATGGTGTCGATGTTGGGGTATCTGGCCTTGACGAAGTCTAGGCGCCAGTTTTGGTCAATCATGATGACTCTTGATGCGCCGTTCATGAGAGAGAAGTCTGCGGCCATTTGTCCGATGGGACCAGCTCCCCAGATGGCTACGACATCACCCTTCTTGACACCAGTGTCAACAACGGCGTGCCATGATGTAGCCAATACGTCGGACAGGAAGAGACCTTGCTCATCTGGGACATCATCGGGAAGGGCGAGCAGGTTCACGTCGCCGTAGGCAACACGAGTGTATTCTGCCTGGCCTCCCGCGAAACCACCAGTGAAGTGGGAGTATCCGAACATGCCTGCTGTTCGGCCGCCGTACATTGCGTTCTCGATGGTATTGGAGTTTGTCTTTTCGCATTGCGAGGACAGCTTCTGCTTGCAGTAGTAGCAGTCACCGCAGGCAATCTGGAAGGACGCAACAACTCGCTGGCTATAACTTGTTAGCATTGTTCATATAGAGAATACCAAGTTAACATACCCCTTCTTGAACTTTGTGACTGCTGATCCGCACTCGTCTACAACACCACAGAACTCGTGTCCGAGAATGTCGCCCTTCTGCATCTCCACGACGGCGCCGTGAAGCAAGTGTAGGTCAGATCCACAGACTGTGGATCCGGTGATTTTGACAATGACATCGCGAGGCTCGATAACCTTGGGTTTTGGTGTGTCGATTATCCGGACATCGTTCTTGCCATACCACGCAAGAGCCTTCATAGACTCTGAGTTGTCGGCGGTGCTGGGGTCGTTGCCAGGGTTGGTGACATTCTGTGCGGTGGTGGCATTGTCACCATGTCCAACGGCCTTTTCGACCTGCATGGCTGCTTGGGACATCATCTTGGGCGGCTTTTGTGTGGGAAACTGTAAATCTAAGGGTATGGAGTTTTCAAGGAGGAGATTGAGATTGTAGAAGAGTTTGTAGGAAAGCTGAATTGGCGCTCCTATATAACACACGAAGTGCGCCTAGAGAAGACTTCTCACAAAGACATATCAATGACATATTGCCACAAGTGACGTTAAACCTGCAGTCTCCAGCCAACAACTACCGCGAACCACCAGATAATCTGCCCCTTGTACATGCGCCTGGAGGGGCTAGCTGAACGTCATCATCTGCTGGGGAGGGGTACAAGTCCGCTACGCGAGCTGAAACATGCAAATGTGGCACTGCCATGTGCTCGTTCAGATCGACGTTGGCGATGGGAATTTTAGAAAGGCGTCATGGCGATGTCATGGCGGGGCAGGCCGTTCACCGTTGGAGCTAGACAAGGGAGCTTTGGCCAGAACACCGAGCAATGTCGGGACGGCATCTTCGGCATATAGCAGTGCTATACCTAGGTAGTTTTGTCTATATGTAAGCCTTCGGTCAGCTCGACGTTATGTTATGATGTTGTCAAGCTGAATGAGTCGTGGGTTGCACAGTGATCAGGATGCGAAGTCTGTGCTCGGGAGAAAAGGAGGGCGTCAAGATCGAGGTGGAAAATGAGGAGTTTGAGCAGACGGCAGTGCAGAGACTTGTATACTCCAGACTGAGGACCATGATGGTGGACTGCGCGAGTAGGGATGATGCTATAGGCTCGAGGTATGGAATGTCGTACAGGAGCGGGCTGGGCAACGGCCAATAATGCAGGTACACGGCTTTTCTTTCGCGTTGGGCCAAACCAAAAAAGTAAAAAGTAATAATTGGGAGCGTCCAGAGCGACAGTGGGTTTTTTATATGCGGTGCTTCGCCTGGCACATACTCGGTGGCTTTACGCGTATTTATTCGCGGGGAGAGGGTATAGTTGTCCGGGTCTGGCTCCAATGCGAACAGCGGAGGACTTATGGTGTAGCTGGACAGATACCACGGGTTTCGCGCCTCTTAGAAACACTATATATGGCAAATCGATTGTCGCGCTGACAGTACGTGTTAGATGCGCAATGCATGATAGAGAGAAGGTAATGCTCGGTCAGCTTCACCGATATTTCGCACTGCGTCTCCACGACCGCAAAACCGCGAAGCATTCCACGCGTTACACTAGCAACGTATCTATAGCTCCTCAATAGTCACCCGCACCCATTACAACTGTAAACTAATACCCAGGTGCCTTGCCCAGGTGCGCTGCAGCCACCAGCATATACTTAAGCTGACCGAACCCCGTCCCCTTCGTTCGAGGGCATACTTACCTTCTTGCGACTCACTGGCTCGAGCATGCGTGGTCTGCAATGGTGAGGATGAGCGGTAGCTCATCAGCCTCCAGCAGTTTAGCAAGATTGAAACAAATAGGCTCCACCTACACTGCGTTCGAAAATCTGCTGCTAAAAATCTTTTCTGTGTACTCAAAGTCAAATCTTCTTCCTCGACACATCGCCAGAGCAATGGAATCAATGAAAAAGTAGCCACAATGGCAGACCAGCAAAAATTGCCCCGCTGAAGCCCCCGAAGGAGATTCATGACAACACCACACCCCGCTGTGCAATGGAGGCGACGTTGTCAGACCACTGAATGCTTGAGCTCAGTGAGTCGCAAGAAGGTAAGTATGCCTTCGAACGAAGGGGACGGGGTTCGGTCAGCTTAAGTATATGCTGGTGGCTTGGCACGCTAATGATTCACGTGACTGTAGACTGGCCCAAGTGGTCTTTGCTGGCCGCTATACGGCGGAACTTCGGGCGCTAGGTGAAGTTTCGGCGGTGTACCATGGTGAGAAGTTCTCTCACCTTGCACAACCCGAACCACATGCCAGTGACCATCTCTCCAGGGATGGGCATGTTCTTCAGAAAGGTACGTTTGAGCATTCTATATCTTCCGCTACTTCTGCGAGCTTTATGAGCTCAGTCGCCGGGTACTATAACTCCAGCACCTGTCACTGAGCTCTTCAAAATTCCACGAAGCACACTGCAGCCCACTTTTTCAAAATGATGATCCAAAACAACCTTAGAACCGTTGCGAATGACGCCTTCGGGCGGTTGAATTCACCATACCCTTTACTGATCGAAATTAAATTCTCGTCTTTATCAGAATATTGGACGCGACTAGTAGCTAACAAGCACAAGGAACCATGAGCAGACCAGCGCTGAATTTTCTTCGGCCGTACCTCCAACAGGCTAGCCGACCTCTAAGGCCAGAACATGCGCGCGCATATCTCGCTCTGCAGAAGCGTTTCACACAAAGTGTAGCTGCTGGTGCATACACTGGCCCGTACGATGTCGAGAAACAGAAGCGACTTGAGCATCTGGAGAAGGTGAAGCCCTTGGGTAAATATCACCCAAGGCTTGTACATTCTTCAGATGTCCAAAATCTATCGGTTCGCGACTTCAACGCAAAGTACGATGGTATACAGGAGACGCAGGCGGACATCGTGTCTGTGTTCGGTAGGACACATCACCAGTGAGCATCGTTCCGATTCTGACATTGTCAGGAAGGGTGCGCTCAGTCCGGCTGCTTAGCTCCAAGTTGATGTTCCTTGATATTGAACGCGACACACAACGGCTGCAGGCCATGGTAGAGTTGAAGAAGCTCACACCACAAAAGAACCTTGACGAGAGCTTTAAGAACTTCAAGAAGGTCGCGCGCATTGGTGATTGGATTTGTAAGGACTAGCTTTAGTAGACCTAGACATGAATGCTAACGCATCATAGCCATCAGAGGCAAACCTACAAAGACATTGACTGGACAACTCTCAATCCTTGCCCTCGACGTGCCCCAAGTACTCGCGCCCTGTCTGCATCATCTCCCGGAGAAGATCGACGATGCTGAAACGCTCGCTCGACGACCGCATATCCACGCTCTTACCAGTGACGAACCCGGCGATGTGCTCCGACTCCGGGCGCTCATATACGACTATGTGCGCACATACTTTATACAGAGTGGGTTTCTAGAGGTGGAGACTCCGACTTTCGACGTGAACGCTGGAGGCGCAATCGCGCGACCTTTCGAGACTGTCGCAAACGAGCTGTCCAACACACCAATCAGACTCAGGATAGCACCTGAGTTGAATCTGAAACGGTTGATCATTGGAGGGCAGGACAAAATTTTCGAGATTGGTCGCGTGTTCAGGAATGAAGGCGTGGATAACACACACAACCCGGAATTCTCTACGTGCGAATTTTACGAGGTCGGAGCAACACTACCCACTGTCGTCGCTAGAACGGAACAACTGGTACACGGTCTTCATACTGCAATTGAGTCACTGAGGTCAACATACTTCCCGACACTCGCAGCGCCGGAAGACATCGACTTCACACATCCTTTCGCACAACTGCCGTTTATACCTACAATTGAGAAATCCTGCGGTCGTACACTGCCAGATCTATCGTCACCGAATGCCTCCGAGGAACTTCTCCAGCTCTTCAACGAGCTTGATCTCGCGATTCCACCAAACCCAACTCTCCCACGGCTACTCGATGCGCTTGCAGAGATGTATATCGAACCTCTCTGCAAGAACCCGACCTTCATTACTCAACATCCAGAAGCCCTCTCGCCGCTGTCAAAGTCATTTGTTGACGAAGCGACTGGACAACGCGTTGCCTCGCGCGTGGAGCTTTTCATCCATGGTCGCGAGTACGTCAATGCATACGAAGAGGAGAACTCGCCATTTGAGCAGCGCAGGAAGTTTATGCAGCAGCTAGACTTTCACACTGAGGGTGGAGGAGCCATCGATGAGAGTTATCTCGAGGCACTGGAGTGGGGTATGCCACCGACGGGTGGTTGGGGCTGCGGGTTAGATCGACTTGTCATGCTGTTTGCTAGCAAGAAGCGAATCGCCGATGTTCTACCTTTTGGAACACTTCGGAACGTTGTGAGTATCTCCAAGAAGAAGTAAAAGGCGTCAGGGACGTCTTGCCGACGAATTAATGGAAATTACGACGAATAACATGTTGCCTCACCACATACTTGCTCGTTCTCTGTTGTCGTGAAACATTTTGATCCGTGGGTGACTTTATATTACATTACATTGAAATAAACAGAGTAATGTGAATATATTAAGCCTTTAATTTTTCTTCTCTAGACTACGTGTGCGTTTCTCAGAAGTACAGCTTACTGGTTTCTGTATTATCTCTGAAGCAGTCAAAGCTGCTGTGTATCCGTCGTATATCGCATAATATCCTCACTGCCAAAATTGATTCCACTCCTTCTCCAATGCAGTCATATTATCCTCTATAACAGCTGCCTGCATATTCTTTTCATTCGCCTTTGCCATATGCGCATTCGTCACACTCCAATCAATCTGCACAAGATGTCAGTTCACAACAAGATGGCTGGAAAAACATGAACACAAACTTACCGGCGGCCCAATCCATCCCGTAGCCATCCAACTTGTACTCTGGCTCGTAGCCTGCATCTGCGCAATCCTCATCTGACTCATATGCATATTCCCCTGCATCTTCAACTGCTGACACTCTTGCTTCATTCTCACAAGCTGCATCTTAATCTCGCGCATCCTCTCGTTCCTAGCCATGAGTTTCTGGCGAAAAGTATCGGTGTCGTTTGTACGCACTGCATCGTTGAAGTAACCCTGCAGTCGCGGAGAAAACAAATCGCACATGAAGCCGCCTTCTTTCACCCCCTCTTCCTTGATGTGGGACAGGAAAGCGGGTTTAGGTGATTCGGAGTAGAGTGGTAATATGTGTCTATGGTAGCATTCTTCGCAGGCGGTGAATTCGGGGACGGTGGTGGGGAGACTGTATCGTTTCTCGTTGAAGACTTCTTTTCCTTTGCGGCAGATGGGTACAGGGCCCCATTTTCTGATGTATTCGACTAGAGGGCCGAGATCACGGGTTTTGGTATCGAGAGTTGAGGCGGCTGTTTTGGCGATTTGGTCGAGGTATTCTAGACTACGCAGTTGGGCGTCGCCTAGGCTCATGAGATCGCACGTTGCGAGGAGTCTTTGGCCATTTGCTACGGGGACGAAGATACGTGAGAGACAGGGGAAGATGGTGGAGACATTGGATACGCAATGGGAACAGGCCGTGAGTTCTTCCACTGGCGCGCCGCTTTGTGGGTCGCGGAGACAGTACCACGTTCGTGTTACGGCAGGTTTTCCTCCTTGCTTTACTTGAGCATCTTCGAGATTGAGATTGGGACAGATGCCGTCCTTGTCGGGTTGGATGCCTGCTACTGCTCCCAGCAAACTTAGGTCTGGCTGGCCTTGTCGGTATAGCCAAATGTACGCTATTCTGATCCAACTCAAGGAAAAATCACACTGGCATGAAATTCCTGCCGGCTTGGCAGGGCCCACACGCATGAGGGAGCCATAGCGTGTGTTGCGGAAGGAAGTGTTGTAGCAATCGGGACAAATGTCAAAGTTTGGGATGGCCCTAGGAGATACGACTTGCAACCAATCCTTGTGTCCTTCTACGAAAGAGGATCGTGAACATGGTTTGAGAGGAGGACAGTCCGTCGTCTGTTGGCTTGCTGAGGCTGAGGACGGGCGTGGCGGTAGTGGGGGCCGAACAAGAGGCATCCTGACTCCTTCGTGAGCCTGTGCAGGCAATTGGCATACGCAGCGGGGAGAAATCGAAACCGAGAAATAAGAAATATGAAGAATCACATAAAGCGCATATGTACATTGCTTTGGTGTATATTTCGACCTACATCAATGTCACTGCCGAGGCTTAGCTGAAGAGGCTGACTGAAAACCATCCGCATACGGCGCCGGTGAAGCCTGGCCCCGCAGCGTCGGGCATGAAAAGGAAGGTCGTGAAGACGGCACAAATCTCGTAGTGGTTACGATTTACAAAGTTGACGTCCCGACCGGGGCAAGACGAGGTGATCAGCGCTATTGTCAATTGGTGGCGCGACGTGGGTGGTCACCAAATGTAAACGGATTCCACACTCATTACAATACGTAAATGTAGAACGCCTAAATGGGTTGAAAGACACGTTCAACCGTCGTAGAAATCCCATAGATGCAGTGGCTTGCGCAATAGTGATCAATTCGGAGACGGGGTTTCGAGCCGGGCGGCTACAACAACACCATTACTCGTGGGTCTCGCTTGCTTCTCACCATCAACGCAGCACACCATCATCCAAAAGTGCCTTTTAGAAGATTCCACTATTTCTCGAAAGCGATAGATATATAGAATCGTGTGAAATAAAATGAGGAAAAAACGTTCTGCGCAGACTGTGCTTTGATAGCAATCCGAATAAAGTCATGAGTACCTTATGTCTGTGACCGCCCACCGCTTCAGATGATGCCAGAACATAATGCGCTACCATCTCAGGGATTGCAGGAGTAACCTTAATGAAAGCTTTCGAACTGAAGACTGTCACTCCCTTGGATGCAAAGCGGGGCCAAAGCCAGGTAGACTGTCCCTAGACCCTATAGTCACCTTGAAAGGGTCATGTGCTCAACATCGTTTGACTCTCCTTGGTGTAAAAAATCGACACGAAAAATTAAGAGACTTTGGAGGAAAGTCTTCCACCATAGAAATTACAGAGAAAGAATGCTCGAATATTCAAAAGCTTGGTACCTTACACTTACTTCAAGGGCTTGTCAAATCGAGTATAGCAATGCGAAGACTATCGTATGGCTGAAACGCCCTAAACAACCAAGGCAAGCAGACAGTGTGACTTGCTGCAATCGGGTAATGCGCCAGACAAGGTGTATCAGTGATGGTGAAGTAAATGCATGAGGCCTGAATGAGCCAACAACAAATTGACAACATGTCCAGCCGCTGACGATAAGTATAACACGCTCATCATCATGCACTGTTGACCATGGCTTCGGTAGAGGCTTGAATTCTAATCGCCTAAAATGTGGTGAAACAGTGAGTTTCCATGCTTGCACACAGCGTCAGTCGCACATGGCTGTATATGCAGATTGTTCGCCCAAGGCAGACTGCGACGAAGCCTTATCTGGCCATATAGGGCTGGCGGGCTGATTGAGGTTACAGGAGCACCCGGCGCGGAAGGAGTAGGCCTCTCAGAGCTAAGCCCACCGGAGAATTTGATGCCGTGGACCATGTCATGCATAGATCGGTGGCTTCATGTGTTGATCTCGTGTTGTACGCCGCCTTCTAGTCGGCTAACAGTAAGTTTGTTCACAACATGTCAGCCTAGCCTGATTTTGAGAAGCGAAGCCAACCGGATCACGACCTTGTTGGTGGCCGGAAACCCCGCTTGTTGGGAGTTGCAAGATGACATTCTGACTGATAGTGCAAATTGGAAATGCGTGCATATGAGGCAAAGTGAGGGGGATACTCACGCTTGTTGGTGGTTCTAACTTGACTGCTACGCACGAATTCGCATTACTGCCATCAAAAGCTATCTGGGTCGATACAGTGACAGAACTCCTATATTTTGTCAGCAGTGCTCTGACTGGAAGTCACACACGAGCCAAAGATTTTGGCCTTCGGGGCAGCCATGATACCGACACACTGGAACCGCGTGGTAGCCGCTAATGAGGATCGCTTTCAGGCGGCCGAATGTGTTCCGAGGATGACTGTAGAACTATGCGGATGCTGGCACCCGAACAAGTTTAGGTGCCGTTGGTGGTGGAGGTGTTCGCCAAAGAGACCATGACAGTAAGCGCCCAGATGTGAGAGCGGGGTTGCTTCGGTTGCCTACACAGGCATCAACGAGTGGGGCCTGGTTTGACAGCTTCCAAAGCATGGCTATTACTCATAGTTAGGCTGCCTTGCGCACATGTTGATGTTGGCTTTGATGTTGTTGAGAGTTCCCAAGGATTCAACGCGGTTGGTGTCATGGATGAGTTGGGTTGTAGTCGACCACCAACGTTTTGCAAAGAGGAAGTTATGCCGGCCGTAGCTTCCTGGCAGTAAATTGGGCGATTGTTCCTGCTGGTCGAAAGCCGGCCGGCCGTGCTCCAGGGCGCTTGTTGGCATGCCTTGGGCGCGGCTAATGTCTAACGCGGCAGCGGCACAGGTCGCACAAAAGAGGGCAGTGACAAAGCCACAAGGGAGCTGCCTGTTAGAGGATTAGAATACTGGAGATACGCGCGGTGTAGATCGTGGTAGGCTGGAAAAAGGGAAAAGCGCGTGCTTTTGCGTCGTAGGTGAAAAAGTTGATCGAGTGATTGGCCAAGCCGGGCATCCGAGCACATGGTAACCGGAGCATGTTGACATGCTCGTAGAATCTGGAGATGAGCCCACGACGATACAGAGTTTTTTTGACATGCCATGTGTGGGCGTTTTGTCTCCCGCGAGTAGGGATAGCCATCACATTGAGGGGATAACCATTTGCTGGAAGCCGGCCACGTCGATGTCGATGGGGCCGGAACTGGAGACGGAGCAAACGGTCAGGCTCGCTCACTGCTGTGCCGCACACTTGTTGTCTCAATGCACATGATATAGCTCTTTGAGAAAGGGTGCATTAGCGTGTCATGGAGGCCTAGCCCTGGCCCTCCCCTCTGCAGCAGCGTTCTCTCACTGCAGCTAATGCTGGGCGAGCCGACAATCATTCGCCCGGGAGGAATCAGGATGCCGTCGTTCGCGAGCATCTGTCTGATGGCAACGGAAGCTCACGTGTTGTCAGCGGATATGTGACATGTCGTACCGAACCCAAAAGGCCAGCCATGGCTTTTCCAGAAATGCTATTCCTAGAAGACCCAGCGTCGTGTCTCTGGCACGCACGGCGCGGCATCGCTCAGCACGCCCGCAATCTAGCGTCGTGTTTGGGCGCTTAAGCTGCAGTTCAACCCTGGGAGCCCAGCCCCACACCTGGTGGCGATTCGTCTGATGCGCCAAGTTTGTGGTGAAGGGACAGGTGTAAGCGGGCACCGGCCATGGTGCACGGCGGAGCGTGTTCGCTACTAGCCGCTGTGCTGCTGCTGGCTGCTGAACGAGCATCTCCACCGAGGCAGAGTCGCGGTCTTGAAACAACTACACCCTTTACACGCCGCCCATTGAGCCTCTTCCCGCAGCTGGCCTGCTCTGATAAGCCTCGTCCCGTCTTTCTTTAACCTTGACGCAAGCGCTCTCTTCGCTCCCCCCCCAACGCCCTTTCGCGCCGCTCACTCCCCTTTGATTCGGGACTCGCCGCTCAGCCTTGCAAACAGCGACCCTCTGGTCAATAGGCAGCCGGCTTTTCGACCGCCAGCTTCTCCATCTTGCCCTGTACCGCGGCGTAGATCCGGGCGCAGTTCTGGCGCAGTCCCTCTTGTGACTCCCTGTTGAGTCTTGTGAGGCATGGCCACCGCAACGCAGCTTATGCCCTCCCCTAGTGGCCTGAAGTCCATGTCGGCATTCAGCCCCTACACCGACTCGCCCAGTTCGCCGGGCACATTTGCGCATGTCTTCTCAAATAGGTGGGCTGCCCTCGCCAGAAGCGCCGTGTGAATTGAGGGCTAACATGGACTTCCCAAGGTCCTCGGGACATACCTCCGACCACCTGCAACCACCGCCTAGCCCATACCCAGCGACTGTGGACCCATCGCCCGTGGACAGCAACGGTACCAGCCATACTGACCACACCGAGGTAGACAAGATTGTTGATGAATATGGGGAACAGGCGGGGCTGACCCCACCACAGATCGAGGACGATGCGCAAGAAGACCACCCGAGCGAAGATGGCATGAGTGACATTCGTTCCCCCGCCACTGACGACATTGTGAGTCCGGTGAGCCAGGATGGGCAGACAAAAGTGAGTAGTCGACTTGGAAGCTTCATGCGCCGCCCACAAGCACTCAATTAATGTGCAACAGCCACACACCCATAAACTCAACACCACCGTGCGCAGGGCAGACTCGGACGATGCCCCTCCATCCGTCATTCACGCGCCGGATAGCTTCAAGCAATTCGTAAGTTTTATTTTTTGCTCTGAACATATAGCATGGCTGACGTGGGTGCCAGAGCCGAATGAGCATGTCTGGCGCGTCGTCTAGCGCAAACACATCGGATAGTACCGCTGTTGTATCACCGTCAACACCAGAAGCCAACATGCTACCCGATGTCGACAACAAGGTTGGTCGTCCCTGCCGTCTTCAACAGCAACACTATGGCTAACCACCAACAGCACACTTCTTCGACCTACACGACTCCAATTGATACTGCCGTCTCAAACTCGGTTGCCCCAGATCGTAGTACACCACGTGCACAAACGCGACAAGATTTCGAGGAAGATCTCCGGCGACGCAGTATCCGCAAAAGCCTCAACCTCGCTGGTATGTCTGCACGGAACGATGACCTCAACAGGCTAGCTAACGTTCACAGATATTGCAGAGTATGAAGACAATGCTACTCTCGATTCCTCCGCAAGCTCCGTCATCGAACAGGACGACAGCCAGTCTTCACAATCGCAGGACGGCGAATCAATATCCATCGGCACGCAGACCATGGGCCAGGCAATCCACGGTATCCAGGAAACAGAAAAGGAATTGGCAGCCCTTCGAAGCGCTCTGGACGAATGCTGGACACTATGTAACTCGCTAGCCAAATTGAGCCAGCATCACCGAACTCGCATGTTCCACTATTCTGGAGGAAGCCCTGATATGCAAGAGCACGCCTGGAGGACGTGTTGGCGGCTTTGCCAGAAGCTTTATGAAAGTCGGGAAGAGGACCCATCAGTACAGATCCGGCCGACACTTGAACTGTGCCGGGACTTTTGCCAGGCCCTCTTCGATGTGCGACAACGCGGTGATGAGGCGTCAGATTCGGTCCTTAGGGTCAGTTTCGAGCTCAACAATCACCTCTACAACGCCCACGACCGCACACTACCTGAAACGTTCCGTGAACGCACACTCGACTTTTACTTGACGCTATGCCACCGCTTGATGAAGCAAAGGACTTCCTTACCAGAAGAGACAGATTCATTGCTGCACGCATGCTGGTCATTAGCAGAGATGCTTTTCAGTCTCCGCCAAAACAGCCGGGATGGTAAGCCTGCTGACGAGGAATTACTGGGGTCGGCTATCCAGGCTTGTTGGGATTTGTGCGACCTGTTCCGTGAAGGCTGGACACAGGTACGACCCGATCGCGGCACCCCACGACCGACACAATACGCCTTTTCGGTAGGCCGTGAGTCTGTGTCACATCGCTCCCAGGGGACATACTCCGAACGGTCTGGACGATCTTCCAGTGTGAACGAGTCTTACCATTCTGCTATTTCTGCAAGGAGGGCGACCCCAATGCAGCCGGAAACACCAACTACTATCTTCGATGATCGCGAGGAATTTTCTCCAGCAGACGAGCCTAACGTGCCGAACATCCTGGTTCTCGGTCCAGAAGCCGGCATGACACGCACTCATGATCGCTGGTCATCCGCTTCGTCCAACCTTTCTACCTACTCCGACGCTTCAGCACATACTTCTTCTACCGCTACTGCCGGTCGTGAGGACCCCAATCTCGTGCGCCTCAAAGGGTTGATCATGAAGGCGGCCATCAATACGGGCTATAATCGTCAGATTCCCCTCCCGGACTTCATTCGTGCTCTGCCTTCGAACAGTTTTGGAACCGACCCATGGCAAAGTCAGTTATTTGACAACTATCGGAAGCTTGTACTCACAGACCCGACGCTACGGAGCATTCACTCTCAACCACTCCGGAGGCTAACGGCACTTGAGATTGGGCGATCAGTGCAATGGCTAGGTCGTAGCGAATCGTTCAAGTGGTTGCGCGAGTTATATCGATTTGTCTTTGGGGCATATCCCGAGGATACGAGCCAGCGGAACCTGATCATCAACGCCTAACGCACAGTCACCATGTCCCCAGTAACGTTGTCATTCTCCTGGTCCTTCCCCTTCACGAGTCTTGTTTGGATGGACCACCTTATTTTGTTTTCGCCTTATACCCCCAACGCTCTTTCAATATGCGCATCTGTTGGTCCCAGCATGTTGTAGTTCCATGTTGTAGATTACGGATTCTGCATTTTCACTTCTATGTACACCTTCACGAGCAAGTATATTTGTCATGTTCATGAAGCTACGACACATTATATAATCAATACCACGTTCTCATTCAATGTAATGACTGTCTCTCGCTGCAGTGATTTGCATTTGACTACAAATATATTTCACCATGGAGAGGGGATATGGTGTACTATAAATGACGTACCTACCTATGCATTAATTGTCAAGAACCAACTTGTGTATACACCTACGTGCACTACTTGCAGCACACATGAAGACCCAACATTGAGTCAATTTTTGGGCCAGGCCTTTTCAAGAAGACAAAATGGTTTAGAGAATAGGGCGATCGTGCACAGACCACCACATCGGACGCGCATCTCACGCTCCCCACATGACGACTCTCCAACTCTACATTCGCCATGTAGTCCACGGGAAACTTTGGTAGCGCCGCCTACAGTCCCCAATGCCTACACGTGCAATCGAAGCCATATTTTACACGCGCTTTCACCATGAAAAGGGTATAGTAATGCGACACACCACCTAGTCTTGACTTTTGCTGATCTCGCTCCAGGAAACCGCGTTATGCACCAGGTCCCCGCGGGCGCCATTATACCCTCTACCCTCCCATCTGCGATGACTACACCATTGTTCACATTCTCCTCTGTGACACAATTCCTCATACCCACACAGCAGTTCTGCGACCGCCTACTCACCTTCTGCGTCAACCATCACCGCGTCATTGGATATCCAGTGTGTATTCGCGAGGGCAAATACAGCAGGAATGAATTCATTTTCAACTTCGCCATTGTGATTGGTGAGAATGAACGCGACTGGGCGTGCTATGGCGAGGTGGTGAGAAAATTGGGACGTCTACTGAGGGGATTGGAAGAGCAGGGTGGATTCCTGAGCAAGGAAGAAGTCGGGGTTTGGGACGACGAGGGGGGGTATACGAATGCTATACCAGACGATAGTGCTGGCGAATTTGGAGTAGGCGGGGGAAGCAAGGTGTATGCCCTCTGTGAGATGGTGCTGGAGGATCTGAATAATTACGCAGAGTGTATGATACCTATCGGTAAATGCTCCCCACGTAGTTTGCGGATGAAGAACAACATGCTGAGTGTAAACAGACGACTCGAATACCATCAACTTGAAGTTGTTTCCCACACGGCCGCCTCCTCCACCTATACTCGCCCATCAAGTACCCTTGCTCACCATCTCCCTCTCAAGCCTCCAGCAACCAGTATCTCCGGACCTCACTCTCAATCGAATACTCCCTTATATCAATGGTGTCAACTCAATAGCCCATATTGCGCAGCTCGCGGACACTGATCTCTCGTTGACGCGGCGTGCCATACAGCATCTCGTATACTACGGCTGTCTGGTGCTCTTGGATATCTTCAGCTTCGGTGCAATCTACGCCCCAACGGCTGAAATTGGCGGATTCATTGTAGATGCAGAAGTCAAAGAAGAATGTATGCGCTACGTGAGTGTACCGAGGATGCATCTTGGCTCCACTGCGAGGACCACACGCCTAGACAGCGACTTTACAGAAAGAAGTGGCGATGGCCGGGGATCAATATCATCCATGGCGTCTTCCGTATCACAACAAAGCGACACAGTAGGCTCAACACTCAAAGTCTCCGAATTTGACAGCCACATCGCCGCACAGAAGAAAGAAGAGGCCGAAGAAGAAAACACATGGAAGACAAGTCACGAGACATTAATAACGCTCTACACATCCCTCCGCCAAGGCCTAACCCTAAAGAACTGGGTCTTAGAGAACCTCGACCTACTCACCGGCATCGACGTCCGCCGCTTCATCACCTTCGGCATCATAAAAGGCTTCCTCTACCGCGTCCACAAATACGCCATAGCAACGTCCACCGCCCTCCCCCCAGCCCCACCCACAAGCCTCCAAACAAGCACCGCTACATCGCCCGCTCACCCCCGCGACTCAGACACGGCTACCATCCGCGGTAACAACGAGCGTGTCCATCACGCCTCCCAACCAAACTTCCAACAGCCCAGTCTCCACACTCCTAATCCATCGTTTTCTCTTCATAGGCCAAGTGTTACTTCCAATCCGACGGGGACTCCTTACCACGCTCAACAATCTAACCCGCAGCACCTCAACCCGAATAAAGGGGACGAACCACAGACGCTGGATAGTCTGATGAACGACCGTGATAAGAATGGGTTGCCGCTGCTGAGGTTCCTGGATGGTATGCATTGTTTCGATGAGATTTGTACTGAGTTGGCGATGCCGGAGCGGGTTGTTGAGGGCAAAGTTAGAGGCATGGGGGAGGGGGCTGGGGTGGTTGTGCATAGATGAGGACGAGACGGTCGCATTTGTTTCCGCCGTTCTCCGGTGGGGACGCAAAAGGAGCGGGTTGCGGACTGGCTGAGCGTTCATGGGCAGCCGACAGTTGGCGATGGTCGCTGTCATGGAAAGTCGACGGGATCGCGTGGCGCTGTGTTTGATATTTTTGTCCGAGGCTTTGAGTCTGTTGCCCTCTGTTTCATCTATTATTACCACCAGGGAGCTGTCACAGTGAACTAGAAGGATAGAAAATGCGACATTAGCGAAATGGCATAAGATGTGACATCACACAGTAACCGGACGGTGATATGTATACTGAAGATATTTATATCTTACAACCCGCCATCCACATGCAGATTGGCATATACTAAGTCTATGCAGAAACCTCCTCACCTCCCTCAGCTTCTCCATCGCCCTCCTTCTCAAGATACGGTGGCAGCGCCAACTCCTCCCCATCCCCCTCACCCTCCTTCTCCACCCACACCCTGTTCAACTCACTCTCAATCTCCTCTTTCCTCTGCTTCCAGCCCTCGACCTTTTCCAGCCTCTCCCTCAGCTCAGCGAGTTCCTTTTCCACGCTCGACTTCTCTGATTGTGTGCCTATGCGCTGGAACTCCCATTCGTCTCCATGTTCGCCCATGCCGAGGGTGAGGGTGTAGGTGTGGTAGCGTTTCAGACTTGCACGGGTGGAAATGGTGATTAAAGCTGGAGAAATTGGTCAGTTGGGTGTACGATAAGAGAACTTTTGGGGAAACATACTTATGCCCTTCGCCTTTGCGCGTTCATACAGCAAACCTTCAACATCACTGCTCACAGCACTCGTGCCTTCATCAACAAACGCATACCGCGGCTCGTGATACAGCAACCGCGCTATACCCATCCTCTGTTTCTCACCCCCGCTAAACACATCTTTCCATACTTTCTTAGTATCCCAGCCGCCTTCTCGGTCAGGTAGGTAGCCTAGCTTGGCTTCCTCGAGTACCTGGGAGAGCTCAAAGTCGCGGCGTCCAGCATCCTTCATGTCAGCGTCAGTGTGAGGGTAGATGACCTGGTCGCGAAGCGTTCCGGTGGAGAGATATGGTCTTTGGGGAAGGAACATGATTCCGTCTACGCCGATGGTGCGGGGGCGACTGACGAGGCCGCGGTATGCGGGCCATAGACCTGCGACAATGCGGGATACGGCACTTTTACCGCAGCCGTTCGGACCGGTGATGAGGAGGTGTTCGCCCGAGTGGACGATGAAGGAGAGGGATTCTAGGAGTTCTTCGCCGCCCATTGGATGGAGGGCTGGTGCGACGACGGGGACGTGTTCGAGACGGATGCCGTCAAAGCCCTTGTGAACGGTGCCTTGAATGTCGGAAACGGAGTAAAGCTCCGGACGCTGGCCGGGCGGAGGGTAGTATGCGTCGGCGTGGACGCGATGTAGTGTGCTGATTAGTGTATAGACACGTGATGTGTAGCCTGCAAGCTCAGAGAGATCCTTAATACTGTACATCATGCGCCCACCAGCATCGGCAAGAGAAAGCATGAGGCGCTTGTTTGTGATGAAGTCCTTCATGCGGCTACGCTCGCGATGCGTCTTCTCGCCTCCTGGAAGCTCGGCTGTACCGTCGGCACCTCCCCAAGCAGGCAAGAAGACTGGAAGAGATGTAACGAGGTATCCAAAGGCAGACCATGAGTACTTAAGCACAAAGTCTTCGAGCATGTTGTATCGGATCTTTAGGCTGTAGATGCCTTCCATCCAGTGCTTGAGATCCTTGAAACCGCGTTCAAGGAAGTGCTTCTCCATCTCATCACCGCCGTAGAAAGCGACCTCCTCGGCGTTTGCAATGAGGCGTGAGTGGAGAGCACGAAACTCACCCTCTCGTCGTCCCTCGACAGCTTTCAGTTTGCCAAAGGGTGGTGAAAGTTTCCGCAGTACTGTCGCGGTTAAGAAGTAGTTGCTCAGCAAGCCCGTCAACGCCAAGGGGCCCAATGATCTGTACAGCTGGTAGTTGAAGACACAGAGATCCACAAACGGCTTTCCTAAGCTGGAATACAAAGATGCTGCGCTCGCACAGAATAGTGTCAAGTCTTGGGTGATGTATTGATCGGCGCCAACACCTACACCTCCATCCAGATTCTGCAGTTTGTAGTAGTTCAGGTGATCGTTCAAATACAAGTCGTGAATGTATCTTGTAAGGCGTGTGCGGAAGGCTATCGAGACCTTGCTCTGCAGGAACTTGATCATAGCATTTGTGTATGACGAGAAGGTGCCAACACCTAGCCATTTGACTATTCCCCATAGGAATGCCTTGCCGTTACCTGCCACAAGATCTCGTACAATCTCTCCGTCAAGCCGTGCTACGACAAGCGAGAGATATGTCCGCAGCATCAAGAAGACACTATGACTGACCAACAGACCCGTCTCCTTGCTGTTCCATCTCGGTATCATGATGTTCAACAAGCTGAGGAACTGGTGCAAAAAGGCAAGATTCAAGCCCGGTTTCGTCTGCGGTGGTGGCGCTTGCGGGTCGCTCGATGTCGCATCTGCCATGCGGGCAGCGCGCGGGGGTTGGAGAAAGAGTCTTCGATGCGCATCGAATGTAGTTTGCTTGGTAGGGTGAATGACCACCTTGGAGGTCGAGTCGCGATAGGGCACGTATATAGTCCGCGAGCCATCTTTGTTCTTGAGCCCGGAATTCCGCCTCAGTAGGCGGCGACCCGTCTCCTTCTCTGCGCGCCGGCTCTTGTACCATGTCCTGCCCCCATATCCTGCGCCTATTATCGTGAAGAGTAGAGTGATGGTTGACAATATCTTAGTGAGCTTCGATGCGTCTCGGACGCGGGACTTGAGGAGTGTGGCATAGCGGTCATAGAGGGCGATGAGAGGTTCATGAGGCTTTCGCAACGTGGACTGGGCGGCCATTGTAGACCGTGGACATGCTTCCCAGGAAGACTATCATGTCGTGGTGGCAAGAGGAAGAGAGAAGCTCCAAGATGGTGTACCTTGCATGTGAGCGCGATGAGTGATGGAGCAGCTTTGAGCCGAGGCATGTGAATGCGCCACGTGCACTGGGGAAACCCGGGGTTGTGGAGCTTGAACTCATCTACACGGATCTATTACAGCAAAACCTTTTAGATACAACTCCCTAAAAGCTATCAAAAGCCCATCTTGAACTAATCGCTAAAGCTCCAACAAACCCTTCCATGCATCACTGATGTCAAATAGTAACTAACCTGCCCTTATATGCGGTATCTCAACCCCCTTGATCTCCTCCACCGTCTTGTGCAACTCCCTCTCTAGCCACGCACCCAGCATACCATACAGGTACTTTGCCTGCTCACAAGATCTTCCGTTTCCCCTCCACTCAACGAGTGCTTCAACTAGCTTTTCGCAGTTCCGCAGCTCGTAGAGTACCATCTGTCTTCTATGTCTCTGGCGCTCTAGCTCGTCAAATCTGTGTCTCTGGGCATGCATATCCTGCAGAGCGTAGTTCGTTCCTTCGTTGCTACCAGCTCCAATCAACGAGCTTGGGAACTCTGGTTGTGAGAATGGGACATGGTAGACGGAATCCATCTGTTGTGACGTTGATGTGACAGAGGAGTTCAGAGGAATAGCTCCATCTACACCGCCGGCTATCCGGCACCATGTCAGAATTTTACTCGTTATGCTTGAGTAAAGCATGGCAAGGTGTGGATTCGACGAGCATGGACAACGAACAAGCTGCAAAACACTGTCTATAGCGAGTCTTGCTGTCGAAAGATCAGATGTAAGGGCTTCCTGATTGAGGACTGGGTATGTATCTGTACCGAGCATACTGATGCTCTGGAATGTCGAATAGGCCAACGTGTAGCAGCAATGCGGTGTAGGTTTTGAGGAGTCAGCTAGAAATTGTGGAGGGTCGTAGGATCCCATGGATTGGCTCATGGGTGTGTGTATTGTGGATGATGAGGAAAAGGAGTGTGGGTGTGCTGTGCTCATCGTATCGTTGTATGTGTATCTCAGCGGTTTCAAATCCTTTGTATCCATATATGCGTCACGAGCTTGCGGCTCTGGGGAGCAAAGCTGCTCCAAGGGTGTCTTTGCGAACTGGTCTCCAAGGACCAAATCCGGCTGAGCGATTTGCGTCGTTTTTGGTTTGACTTGTGCCGTTGATAGGAATGCAGGGTCCATAAACCCAATTTCCGATGAGTCAAGGTTGGTATAGAAAGGTTCGGGGGTGGCTTCAATGCCAAAGTCTGGCGTGGCTGGTAAACTTGGTGTCGTTGTTGACCAGTCCGAAGCCCAGTTTGTACCCATCTCCAGATCTGTTTGTGGAAGGCTATGCTCAGACTGGAGAGTGTACTTGGAGAAATCGGTTCTGTCAGGGGACAGGCGCTGTTTTGAGAACTTGATGAACTGCGTTCCATCCGGATTCCTCTTCCTGGATCTGCCCGGCTTGCCATGCTTTCTCGAGACACCATAAACGCATTGTGTGTTGTTGGCAAAGCAGCGTGCGCAAATAGGGTGGTCTTTACTGCATTTAACCTTGGAAGCAGCGCAAGAATCGCACGAAGCTCTGAGTTTCAATTTCTTCTGGTTCAACGGTGTCGCCGGTTTCGGTGTCGAAGTAGGGGAGGACATGTTTGGAGTAGATGATTTGTTTTTGATAATAAAAGGTGTACGCCAACGAGCTGGTTTTAGAGAAGCAGACATTGGCTTGACAAGATGTAAAGATTTTATGGAAGAGTCGGTGTCGGGTAGCAAAGTAAGCTGAGCCTTGTGCTACCAAATGTGATGATGTTGCCTATCTGTGTACGCTGAACCCCACCGCCATTATATATTAAATGGCTCATATACTATTTACCGGGATTGAAAACCCGCCGTTGTGGTTGAAGGTGAGATCCAAGATCTACCGCATGTGAAGCGCGTGCGTCGCAGCATACAGCCCATCTATCATGGTTATTTAAACCACTTAGATCACTCGCGCACTGTACCTGGACCACTCTTCAGGCCACCCGACCTGGTTCTCATGGCGCTTTTGGCTGCAGAGTCTCATCCTGGCGGACCGGGCTATCATCTGCAGCTTCCTTGGCCCCAGTCTGCATGTTTTTCTGCTAGATTAGTTGTTCTACAAGGATTCGTGACATAAAATCTTGTGTTTGTGATGCAAGAGTAAGGCGGCTGTGCGAGAAGAGAACAATTTAGTGGTGGTGCAGATTCGACGTCCAATGATGCTGTGCTGCGTCAGCCTCGCTATGCTGACAGGACATTGCATGCACCACTTGGCAGCACACCCTCGTGTACAGAAACGGTGCACAGATGGAGAAACTTCCTAACCAGCATTGTATGCGTGGTAGATTTGGGAAGTCATGCTTCTTCCGAGCATGTCTTGAGCGCAGATTGAGCGCAAATCGTGCAACGTAGCAATGACCTTTTTAGAATTCAGTAGCAACGAGGCACGTCTCCACCAGGCGCAGCAACCAAGGTAACTCACTTAATGGAGAAACTGGAAAGGTCACTCCGTTAGTGCCGTTTTTGCAAGTAAGACATGATGCCATCTGCATCTTACGGCACGGCACGCACATCCATCCCTTCACCAGCAGCTAGAGTTCCCTAAGCACACCACCCGCTTACTACCGCTAAGCCTATTCGGGTAAGTAACACCCCGAGCCCAAAATAGCTTTCTGTTTCTGACCGACTTCTTTTTACCCATCACCGGCACTCGACAAGAGTCATCACGCCTGCATGATCCCACGTGGGACTCACGAAGTAACTGTGCACCAGGGCAAGCGGCGGTACTGGTCAGTTACCTACTGTGAACGAATGGGGCATCTTCGGAAAGCAGTGAGATGCCGCATGTGGCTCAGTAAAATAGGCCTGTAGGCTAGAGATAAGCCTCGCGCATAGATAGTCGTCATGTATTGTAAGACGAGGCTGCTGGGTGATGTTGAAGTCATGGACTTGATACTCGCGAGAGAGAAGAAATACAAAAAAGGTTGGCCTACGATGGAAGTAGATGCTCTTCGATCTCCTCATCTTCTCCTCTCCTCTCCTCTAAAATACCTTGAAACATTCGTTGCAAAGGCCCAAATCCCACTACTGAAGCCATCCTCTTGCTCCCACTCCCGTCGACTCCGCTCCCGCTCCTGGTCCACCCTCCCTCTGACCCACCATGCACCCTCCTACATCCATTTCCACCAACGGCACGTTTCGCCTGCAAACCCACCCCCACCTCCATTCGGCCAGTGCCAGTTGTCAAAGACCGGATTGAGGCCATCTCATTACCCAATCCGGCACTGCGTATGTAGGCTACTTGCTGTGTAAGCACGCCACATAAATACCGTTTCGGGATACGGAAGAGAAGTGTAAGAACACAGCCTCGATATTATGGTATAAACATGGACCGCAGGTGTAAAAAAAAAGTGGTAGGCAGGTAGGCACATGAGTGGAGACAGTATGGCAAATGGGAGTTTGTTTGGTGTACATGTGACGTGAGCGTAAGAGCCCTGAATTTAACAAAACATCTACACTAGAGATATCTATATCTTCTATAAAGAAGACTAATATATACAACTATAGAATCTTAAGAATGAATTCTTTCTCGCGATCCATTAATTCTTATTACACCCTTTCCTAGTCAATTAACTAGTATTAAGACTATTTTTAGTTATTATAATCTTATTATGAGTCCTACGTTATCTGTTCATAACCTGGAGGTGTTTCTTAGTATCCTCGGGGTCGGACTGATTGATGCATTCCTGATCGATCCTGATGAATGGACAACTCCGATGCCGTGCAAATTGTATCGCGCGATGGAAAACTCCTTTCGGGCATCGCAGTGGCCGCGAAGAGGTCGCATTCGGTGACTCCCAAATTCGGTAATCAGGAGTAACCAGAGAATTATACTAGCAGGCTGGGCCCAACAGTAAGATACTGTGATGTACTCCATGTCATGGACTTCTTCGATCGGTGTCAACACGAAATCGAGACACGACCCTGCATCGTAACCCGGCCCTGATTTTGGTGTCAGGAGGCGGAGTTCTAGAGGCGCACTGCTGTCTGCCAGGACAAGAGCTTGATCGATAATCTTCTTGATACTTTCAAACCAAGCTTCTTTTGTGCTGTGTATCTCTCGAAACTTTGTTTTTGCTGACTCGCGTTGCATGATTTGATGTCTCCGGTTATTGTGAGGGAGGGTGTGTACTGTAATCCACTTTGTCGCGCCGTGTGGCTGACGAAATGGTGTTCAGCTGCGATACGTCGCAAGACAGCACACGTCATCGGATATGAGGTGCATGTTGAATGTTCCCGAGGTCCTCGTTATTGAAGGCGCTATGTGTTTCCACAGCCCCACTTCCGTCATGGCGGCCCGTGCGGACCATGACTCGACGTCTTCTTATCCCACTAGCTGGTCCTTCCTCCACCTCTACCATAAAGATGGTCGCGCCTGAATATCTTCAACAACCTGTTGCATTCGAAAGCCCACTACGTTCTTACAAGTCTGCTACGAGGCATCGTTCGCAGGTCAGGGAGAAAGATGGCATATTTCCAGTGTCATCGTCCAGATGCGGTTATTTCAAACGAGTTCAGCTGAAAGGACATGCAAGCTAGTCTAGCTTCCACATAACTCTCAAGGCGTACGTTGCAGCGTTTTTGGGGGTTATGTTCTTGCGATCTAGATTTGGAGACGAGTGTCAAGATGATCGACTGCAAAGCCTGGAGTTGAGAAACGTACCGGATCTTTCATCTTTTGAGGGCCATGGAAGGCCTGATGGCTACCAATATGGAGAACTAGACATAAAAAGGATTCGATGGGCTTTCCGTCCAGAAGTCACCTTGTCTCGCTTTTGCGAACCGTCGCGCAGCATTTGCAGGCTAGGAGAACACTGCCTCTTCTCGGATATTTTGCGACTGGCGACTGGTACATGCGCACGAGACTTTACCTTCTCAATGCTTGTAGCCTCAAGGCTGAGTCTAGACATACGCCGATCTCTCAGCCAAGCCAGTCAGACACGGACGACGAGCACACGTGACTTTCCGATAGTCTCGATGCGTGCGACCTGCATAGTGATGGCTTACTCGGAAGTTCGCAGTATCACCTATATAAGGCGAGCGCAAGCCTTGGCCCGAACTTTTGCATCGCTTAACTGATCATTAGTATGTCTCCTTGCGTCCTCGCGACTCGTTTGTTAATCTTCTCCGCCTTTTGCGGCCTGGTCATTGCAGACCAAATCATACATGACCCTATCAAGGACTTCTGTCGACGTCACCAACATCAAACCTGTGTAATCGACTCCAAGGTGTATGTAGATGGGGGTCTGGTATACTATGGCACTGGGGTCAATCTGGATAGCCAGCCGGAGACAAGTACTTCTGCCCATGAAACTTTTGGATAGACTTACTTACTATACAAGACGACCGGCTAGTCTACGGAGACCTTGCCAGCATTAGCGAGGGTGCGCCAGCTCTCTACGGCAATCTCTCCAAGGTATGATGCGAGATGATACTTCAGATACTTCACTTTCTCGACGTACTCTGACAACAGCACTAACTAACAATAGGGCTCGAATGTACCCTCTGTGAGTGGAGGCGTGTTGTGGCCTGACCAGGTTAACAAACTCTTCTACCTATTTGGCGGCGAGTATAACAACGCAAGCGTCAATAGCTTTAGCGACGGGCTGTGGTACTACGATACAATCTCGAACACATGGAGTCAGTCACCATTTGATGGCTCGCAGACAAAGATCTCGTGGCCGGCCTTTGGCGGGTCCGCAGTCACAGAGGAGGGGATTGCATGGTATTATGGCGGTTATCTCAACAACAAAACGGTACCTAACTGGGCCGGGGCGCCCCTCATGCTCAATAGCCTGGTTTCATACGACATGACCAAACGAACTTGGACGAACAACACTGAGGGGATAGCACGAGCTGAGGGGACGCTTCAGTACATCACGGCCGGGAGTCGAGGCATGCTGATATATTTCGGAGGCCGCGAGACATTGGCAAACGGTAATGTCAGCTACGTATGTTCTCATGCGCCCGTCCACAATGGCAGTTGCTAACCTGATCGCAGACAGATATGAGTGTGGGTGACTTGTCATTCTAAATTTTATAAGACTAAATATTAACAAAAAATCAGCAGATTCAGATCTATGACATTGCCAATTCCCGCTGGTATACGCAAACTGCCACCGCTGGCATCGATGATGACATTCCCAGGAAGAGACGTGGTTTCTGCGCAAATACGGTCTGGGCGAAGGATCATTCCTCTTACAACATGTCAGTGCATTTTCTGGGCTTGATTTGTGATGGGATTGCTAATTTCGAGAAGATACATGTATGGAGGTATCGCTTCCGACGAAACAGCACTCGGTGATATCTACATTCTGTCTTTGCCATCATTCACATGGATCCCAGTACGTCGATGTCAATTGTATGATATTGCGTAAATTCCATTAACATGGCTTACAGTATCCATACTCCCAACAAAAGCAATGGTCTGGTGGCAAAGCATGGGCATCGTGCGCCTTAGTCAAGAATTCACAGATGATCGTCACGAGCGGCTTCTATACCAACTCAACCAAAACCGGATGCGACGTGGCGACCATCGGCGGGCAGCATACACTGTTTCCTGGACAAGAAAGCATAGAACAAGGGACGGTATACCACGCTCTTGCTGCTGATGTGGTGAAATACAGAGTGCCTGGCATCGTCACAGCAGTGATCGGTGGCGAGTGGGTCTCCGAGAAAATGTAGACGCATCTCCCGTACGCTAACATGTGATTGAAGTACCGATGGGAAAGCCACCTTGAAGTCGCCAACCTCCGGATGGGCTACAAGCGCACTGGCTGTTGGCTTCGGAACAACTTATGCCGGGCTCGCACGCACAGCAACAAGGTCACTTCCAGCGAGCTCTTCCACACCAACGACATCGGGGCTGTCAGCAAGTACTGTCCCCTCGTCTAAAAGCAGTTCTAACGTAGGAGCCATTGCTGGTGGCGCAGTCGGGGGCGCAGTGTTTCTAATCGCTATCATTGCTCTCGCACTCTACCTCCGATCTCGTCGCAAGCTAGCCAAGCCAATAACAAATACAGCGCACAATTCGACCGCTCAGGACAACCGCTTCTCGACCGCTGGGGAGAAGCACTTCTCAATGTCGAAGGGTAGCACGATGTACTCACCCCACCCGCAAGGCTCGCCACGTCCGCCGTCAGAGCTGCACGGCTACGGCACAGGACAGCAACACCATAGCCCCGGCTCGGAATGGATTCAGCCTCTTCCGTTTGCGCATGAATATGAAACGCAGCAGACGTACTATCCCCCGCCGCGAGATCCTTTGCACTCGCCCAGTAGCCCGCATTCAAACAGTGCAGAGTTGCCGATTGCGAACACGCCGGGGCCTAGTGAGCTTTCGGCCGTGAGGAGTCCGCAGCCAACGCGTGGGAATGTTTAGGTTATGTACTAGTTACAGAATGAGCGGAGAGAAGTTTGCTGGAAAATCTATGCCGTTGTGTAGGTCAGGGTATGAGAGTGTTTGTCCAACCCGCCGCATGGATATCAAGGTTCTGGAATAGCCTTGTTTTTCTCGAACATGATATTTTCAAGATACAATCTTTAGTCACTACCCGAGAGTATAGTGCTGGATTTCACATACGAGTGAATGACAGGGATGCTAGACAACGATACGTTATCAGTCAGCCATGAACCAATCAATGTAGTATCTGAACTGCCACAATAGGTTATACGCCTATCAACTACATCATTTTAAAACCTAAAGAATAATACGACGTTGACTGCGACTCTAAGTATTAAAGGAAAAGAGAGTTAGGATGCGAAAATGATGTTCCTGTCCCAGCACGCAGGGAGGGACGTTACACCAATCTTCGAGCTATCCAATGGTAACACTTCTAAAGACGCCGCATGAATGCGACTTTATCGCTGACGTGGCTATGTATATCTCTAGATACCGGATTTGGGGACAATTAGCGTAGACGAGTTATCAAATTGTCAGATGGAAGGGGTATCCTACTTCGGCTCTAGGCAAGGGGTAAAAACCCTTCCGAGGGGCTTAATGCCCCTAGGCAAGGGATAAGACCCCCTTTGTAAAGCCCAAATCCTACGTTGGCCTAACTCGGATCTAACGACATATATACCCCTGTAGCCCTCAACTTCGTGAAGGACAAGAGATCAACAATTATTAGTTTACCACAAAATCTCATCTTATTTAACAATTAAGAGTCTCACTGCCTCTACGAAGCAAACAACTATAACATTAAACTAGAGCTAAAGGGACGCGACAGTCATCCTATTAGACTTAAGGAGCTAGATCCTATAGTACCGCTAACTTAAGATAAAATACTAATCCTAAGGCATTTAGGCTCTTATAGACCTAGAAGGAGTAGAGCAGCCTCTCTTACGACTACTTCTTCTACTACCTCTAGGTATCTCCTAATACGAACTATTAATAAACACGAGCAATGCATTAGCAGTATTATCTAATATAATCTAGTCTAGAAGAGGCAACGCATAAGCGTTAGCCTAAGAGTTAATTAAAGCTTTAATATCTGCCTCGTAAATCCCGACGATACTAACGCGAATATTAGACCTTTTAGATAAAGGACAAGAGGCATATAAGGAAGATTGTAACGACTAACGTGGTTGGCAAGCGAGTCGGTCAGACAAGCGAGTCGGTCACCCCACCAACTTTTGCAACTTTAAAGCGATATATCTCAACAACACGATAATATTATTGCTAGATATTGATATAGTAGACTACTCTATATTAATAGTATTAGTGCTGCATGTGCGCGAGTTGTGCCCGGTCTCTTTGCATCTAGTGCAGCGCCTTTGAGCGCGCTGGCTGAGGCCTGATCGCGCTCCTCCTCGACGCTCTTCATGAGCAATCTGCTGGTCAGCCTCATTTTGAGCTAGTATATCCTCTCCAGTTCCTTTTATAAGTACTCCGTGCTTCTGTATACGCCTTTTAGAGCGCCGCCTACGCGCTAAGGCTGCGCTGTTAGCCTTCTCAAGACTAGAGATCCGATCGCGCATTAGCTTAGCAGAGAGCATTATCACCTCAGCGCCCTTCTTCAGCTAGTCAATTGCCTCAATAATTGATGCTGGTGATGAGCTCTTGTGCTGGCGCACGCGCTCACGTATAAGGCTTGACTGAGCCTCAAGCTCACGCACGTTGCTCGGCGTTTGAGCTACCCAGGGAGCCTCTGGTAGAGCTGCTGGAGGAGTAGGTGTACGCAGCTGTACATCTACCTTTGATAGAACAGCCTCTAGTTGTAGAGGAACAAGGCCTGCGCCGCGGAAGGCTGAGCAGATGTTGGCTGGCGTGAAGGCGCGATTGAATGCTATCTTAAATGCTGGCAGAAACTCTAGCTTGGTGATGTGGTTGATGTGGTTGCGCATGAGGCTCTCCACCTCACGGCTGTACGCGCGCTTCAATGGCGAGAAGCAGCCAACATCAAGTGGCTGGAGTAGGTGAGATGAGTGAGGAGGCATACAGAGCGTATAGATATTGTTCTCCTTGCAGAGCTCCTAGAACGCTAGAGATTAGTGGCTCTTATGGCTATCAATAATAAGCAGGCGACGCGCGCCTATAGTACGAGCCTGCGTGTGAGCGTTGAAGTGCTTTAGCCACTTAACTCTAAGCTTATTATTTGTCCAGCTATTGTCGCTGACTGCGATTGCCTAGTCGCGTGGGATCTCAGCTTCCTCGTACCAGGCTAATAGGTGGTACTGGCCAGCGAAGATAAGGAACGGTAGGACTGACCAGCCAGCAGCGCTGATAGCAGCGATCAGCGTTACCCACTCGCGATTGCCTAGCTAAAGAGTCTTCGGCCTGCCTCTCCTCTCTGCTCCTGTTATAACCAGCTGCGTTGTAATCTTGCCCATTATAAAGCCAGCTTCATCAAAGTTGTATATATCCTCATCGCAGATACCAAGCTTAGCCTTTGTCTTCTCTATAAGCTCAAACCAGCTTCTAATAAGGGCTGGATTCTCACAGAGAGCTCTCTGCCTATCGTACGCTCGGTTGAAACACGTCCGAAGACTATCTGTCCGCTTAACAAAGTTGGCTGGCTACTTCTGCCCAACCTAGCCAGCGCCGCGCGCAGCCAGCAGCTTATCAGCCATATCGCGTGCAGCTGCGTAGGTAGGCGCAAACCCGCGCTGATCTAGATGAAGTATATAGCTAACAATCACCTCATCTTCTCTCTAGGTAAGCTTCCTTAAGTCAGGCTGGCAATCGCGTCGCGCGCGCTTTCCAGCGCGCCGGTCAATTAGGGTTGATTTTGGGATATCGAAGACTGTAGCAGCGCGTCGCGTACTCTGAATTTGGGCAGAATCTATAGATAAGAGAGCAAGCTGAATATCTGCTTCATTTGAAGGCACAAGAGGAGCGCGGCGTGGAGGCATTATGTGTTGAGATAGAGTAGGTGATTAAAGTTGGTGGGGTGACCGACTCGCTTGTCTGACCGACTCGCTTGCCAACCACGTTATAAGCTTTGTATTAAATTATATAAGATACTTAAGAGGGACTATTAAAAAAAGAGGAATAAAATCTCTAAGACAGTTAAACATATCCTTACTTTAGTAATACTATACTTACAGCTAAGCTGCTACACAAAGCATAGAATATTGCGCAAATAGATAACCGCCCTCTAAGACATAGTTAGAGTAGACGCAGATAAAGAAAGGGCGTAAGTACGAGAAAGATACCACGTCGCACTTAAGCTAATGCGAACACCCGTAAACTAGGAAGCGTAGCTAAGTAAGTACGATTAGGCCGCGACTTAAGCTGAAACCCTTGCAGTAGCTAAGGTTACGTAAAAATAAGCTATAATAGATAATTTCCTAGGCTTAGTGTTAAAATTAGTATTAACCTAGACTATAGCGTTTTACGGGCTACGATATAATAAGAAAGCTATTAAAAGGGAGAGGTTAATGAACTCTTCTACGATTATACAAGCCTCTATAATCTAATAACAGGAAAGCTAAAAAGTATATTCTTAGTAGTAGAGACTTTATACGCGGCGGGCGGTAAATCTAATTTAAATATATAGAGGGACGTCTCTAGTATAGAAATAAGAGCGCTATCTAGTAATAATTAAGGCTAAGGAAACTTAAAGCTATTAAATAAACGAAAGAATAAGCAATCTATAGAGAGGGATACAGCGACAGCTAAGGGCATATATCCTACTTATAAACAGCTATACAGCATCTCTAACTGCTACTATATAAATAGATAAGCACCTAAATAGTTTAAGCTAAACTAAGGCACTATAGAACTAGTATAGTATAAACTTAACTATAACCTAAGCTTATGAGTATTAGTGCGTAAAAGATCTTAATAATCTAAGTGACCTCGTATTACATCTACCTTACGATCGATTACACCCTATATTAAGACATCACAAATACCAGACTTAGTTACTAATTAACTAGATAGACGCGAGTTCTTAAGATTAGACAAGGGCATAATAAAAGCGGCATTTAATGCAAGTAATTAAGGATATTTATCAAAAGATGCATTTATCCTAGATTCTAGCTCGACGACGTACATCTGTAATAACCTCTTAAGGCTTAAAGATATACGCCCGCCTGCGATAAAAGATTATGTTTAGGCTAGCAACTTAAGAGTTTAGATACAAGGATATAGAGTAGTTAAGGTAATAGCAGAGGGGTCTTAGGGCAAACAAATCCTACACCTAAGCAATGTTACTGTCAGATATTCACTCTCATCTGGAATACTAATGAAATAGGTAATGATGGTGATGATATTAATGATTGATTGTGTCTTGGTTCTGTCTACGGTTGTGGGCACACCTAGGGGGTGTCAAGCCTTCCTGTGATCTAATTGGCTCTTACAGATGCTAGGTCGCGCTAGTCTAACCTAGTGTCAGATTGTGATGGGTTATCAAAGACGGGGATAATAGTATAATAATATGATGGGGATCGATTGTGTTGTTCTGGTCTGATGTCGTGTTGTGTTGTTGTCCAGCGCTGTTCGATCAATTGGGTCGCGGTGGATTGTGCGCGCTGACTAATTTAACTGATACACAGAATCCACAGCTCCAAACACCCGGATTTTGCCCACCACCCAAAATATGCCCATATTCTGACACCTAGCGTCTGTACGCTCTCATCTTTAATAGTGCTATTATCTAACACACCCCTTTAGCTTAGACGCTCTTTACGCTTATAAGCTAGGCACTTAGTCCTACGTAAGGCTTACCACGAGGCTTTTAAGTTTTTCTTGAATTTCTTTAAGCGGTGCTGAGTTTCTCGCTAGGATTTTCTTAGCGGGGACTAGTCCTAGTTACTCTGAGTATTCTAGCTATTTATTTAGTAGCAATAATTTAGTAAGACTGTTAGCGATTATATCCGCGGTAGGTATATACTCTACGGAGATGTAGCCTATCAACACCTTCTATCTAGTCTAGT